CCCCCAAAAAACAAAAAAAAAAAAAAAAAAAAAACCGCCGGCCACACGGGAAAGATTCAGCCAACCGGCCACTTCACCGGAGGCAGTAGGATAGGCGTCGAGGTTATACGCGTTGACGCCCACGGTCGTGATCATGATGCCGAAGACGTAGAGTCCCCAGCCGAGCGCGGCCAACATGTAGTGGTATGCGCGCTCGAGGGAGAAGCCCAGCAAGATGAGGCCGCTGCACAGAAACGGAGTGGAAATCCCAACGGCGGCCAGACGGGCTTCCGGCTCAAGGCGGCCGTTATTACGGCGCTGGTACCATTTGGCGACCAAGTCATGGAGCCAGTGGCCAGCTATCTCGCCTAGGATGGCGGCGACAATGGGTGTGAAGTAGAAGAACCCTGTGCCAGGGTCAGGCCAAGTGTGTGTGTATATGAAACATCTTTTGCGAAAAGGGGGGCGACTTGCCTATCTGCTTGGGACCGAATTTGTACAACGGCGTCAGGAACATGGCCAACGTGGTGTTGATGCCCACCACCCACGCGAAAGCCAACAGGTAGTACGTGTTGGAAATCAACACTGGCAACTTGACCAGCACTATAAATGGACGCGACATGGCCTCGGCAAAGGTGTTTCTCAAGTGCCGCGTGTGCCACTGCTCAACGCCAATGACCCTCAAGACTCGCGACCTGCGCCGAGGCTGCTCACTGGCGGGCAACTTGCGATCATAGTACGTCTCGTCGACAAGGGCAAAGATGGCGGCGACGCAAATACCCGTCATGATGGTGTAGAGACCAAATGCCCACTGCCACTTTTGCGTGTCGATGATGAATGCGGAGAAGAGGGGGCCAAAGTAGGGCGAGAGGATGATGAAGGAAGCCCAGATGTTGATTTTGCGAGCGTGCTCGTGGAAGAAGAAGACGTCTTTGATGAACATGAGACCGCCCTTTGAAAACTCGAGGTATTAGTCGACGTTGTGTACGTATCTTATTTTTTTTTTCCCGTTGCACGATGAAAGGTTGATCTCTTACTGCTTCGGCGACGGGGGAAAAGAAGCCGTTGAGGATACGCGCCGCCATGAACGACTCGAACGTCTCGGCCGCTGTACACCAGAGGGCCGTGGCCAGTGCCAGAATCATGAACCAGAACATGACGGGCAGCCTGCCAAAGTATGCGCCCAGACAGATGGCGACGATGCCGCCGGCGCCAATCATGAAGACATTGCCGACTTGTGAGTGATTGACGACGTTGGTATCCATGTGCCAGATTCTATTTCACACATGACGTCAGATTAACCATTATCATCATCATCGTCGTCTTCTTCTTCTTCTTCTTCTATTTTTTAATTTGTTTTATTTTTGAGCTTGTCTGCGCATCAACCGCCAACCAACATGCATCAGGAATCGCACATACTCGGCTTGCGGCAGTAGAGTAACTGCACCAGTGGCACTTCCATAGTCTGGCAAAAAGGATGTCGCTGCAATGATAAACAGGAACAGGTGTTTCTTCCCCCAGGCCCAATTCAACGGGTCATTCGGGTCTTTGGATGGCTGGGGAATGAGTATCGTACTCCCATCTGGCGTGGTCTGGATATTGCGGCTCGCAAAGTGCGCGTCCACGAGGTAGCCATTGTGGTCTTGGAGGGATTCGCCGTCTGAACTGATAGCCGCTTGGGCCTCGATCTCTTTGGGAGTCATGTCTTTGCGAGGGGATTCCGGCTTTGCGGCAGACATGTCGACGTCACGATGGAGAATGACTAGGGCACGTTTCAAGAGGGTACATGAACAAAGTAAACAAAGCCAAGAGGAGATAAAAGGGAAGCGTACAAAAAGAAAGTTGACAAGACGACTTGGACCTACCTAGATAGTTACCTAGGCAGGTCAGTGGCCAACAGACTGAGAGGCGGAAACAGTCGCGTAGGGGAATTTGCATCTCGCATACGGAGTACATCTGTGACGCACCATGGCCGATTCTGCCAGGTTGGCCGATGTATGAACAGGCATGACAAATTATGTCCAAGGTCTGAGATCCGAAATTGATTCCTCCTTTGTTACGTCGTCGAATCATGAGCGCATGTGGCCAATTACCCTGACGACCAACGAGTACTTGTTGGACCACGTCCAAATAACGCCGTGACAAAATGCCAACCGAGGAAAAAGGTCCATGTTTGCCTCTTTTTGCGTCGGTTTCTTAATCTATGTTGACAACGATTTGTTTTCTTCACACCCAACAGCGTCTGCTCTGTACGGAGTACTCCGTACAACACCAACACCAACACCCCCGGGCAACTGACCAACTCGAAAAGTACAGAGTACTCCGTACTACGGAGTACTTGTCCGTAATTGATATGGAGAATTTCCTCGGCTGTCGCCAGCAATTCTGCTTGGCAACGGCTATCTCTTGCCGACCAGGGGGCCCCCGGCTCGCGTCTCGCGATTTGCGTATCGTCCAATGTCCCCCCAATGAGACACCACATGTCAAACAGCCAACTCGACATTCATCATTGGTGCGAATCCGCTGGACCGGTGGAAGCTGGTGGATCAACTTGCCGTCCCCGTGGGTCAGACGGGCCAGCCAGGTATGGAGGGTCTGGTACGATAGACGTTCGCCTGATGCCGAAGAAACAACTCGGTGCTGACATGGTGCTCCAGATCCTGACTACGGATGTGAGCAAAGTTGGATCTGTAACAGCACCAACTAGTTACTTTCTACGAAGGCAGAAGAAGGGAGCGAAAGGGTTTGTCGACCAGCAGCGCAAATTCGGGTTCTTTTCTGGCACCGTTGACGCTCAAAATCAACACCTACCTGTTCAGTTCGGTCGAAGAAAAGGACAAATCCTTCAACGTTCCAGATCTTGCTACTCCATCTTTTCTTGTACTATGTTGCGGACATGGTTTGATGCCCCGTGCGGCGTACAAAATTACGTGGCGACACCGTGGCCGGGACATGAGGGTAATCATCAGTGCAACACGACTCAGGACGTCCGAGTCCTCCCCCGGTAACAATTCGCACGTTCAATGCTGTCTTGTCACGTACGGAGTAGCGGAGGCTATATGCAACGATACTTGACTCTATAACCGACACTGCATCTCGGTCCTGTACCGTACCGACTTCAGGTCATGGTCGAGTCATCCCCGCGTCTCCGGGTAAAAAATGGACGGCAAAGTTTCTTCTCTAGGTCCTGGTAAGGCGTGGTGTAATGTGTACATGTCTCCCCATGTCGATCCCATAAGCTTCTGCCAACTTGTGCCACCAATGGTGGTACACGACTGAATCTAGCTGTAAGCACCGATGCTGAAAAGGGTCCTGACCAACCCTCGTTTCCTGCCTTTCGTTTTTCGTTCTAGGACGCGTTGGTTGATGCGGCTGCATGCCCTTCCTCCCTCCCCATGTTCTCCGTAGAATAATTTACATCATCTTTGTGCTGGGGACATGACATTATTCCGAGGCTTCGGTCACGTATGCACGGTTAATTTGTTCAAGGGGACCTGTGGTGCTGCAGGATGAAGTATTGACCGCGTTGGTATATACTTGTTCTGCCCCCCCTCCTGGCTGTTTTCCGGTCTTGACTCTCTGGCGCTTGCCAATTGCATAATGGCCTCAGACGGGAGTTTGGCCCGTCAAGATGTAGACAGAGGGTTTGTTATTCTGGCTGTTGGCTGGATCGAATGCGGCATCACGACCTTGTTCATAACCGGTCGAGTATACAATCGTTTTCAGAAGCGAGGTGGCCTGGGAGCAGATGACTGGCTTATTTTGATATCGTTTGTAAGTCGCCCCGTCGCACGTTCTTGTAAGCTTCTTCATTTCTCGCTTGTCCTCTCGCTGTTCCTGCACGTCTTGCGATGCTCATCGGGGGGAATAACTTGCTAGACACTCGCCGTCGCCTTCATGGGCGTCACCACACCAGAGGTGCAATATGGCACGGGGAGACACCTCGAGTTCCTCTCTGAGGATGAAAAGATGCAGTCGGTCAAGCTCGACTGGGTCAGTCAGGCATTCCACATTATGAGCACCGCAGTGGCCAAGATGTCCATTGTCCTCTTCATCCGGCAAATCATTGGCAAAGGCCATTCCCGCATGTGGTTCCTCTACATCATGGTGGCCATGCTGTTCGTCGTCAGCGTCGTTTGCGTCGCCTTTATCTTTGCGCAGTGCACGCCTGCTGCGGCCTTGTGGGATCCAGGACTGAGCGAGGTGGGAAAGTGTTGGGATCCCAAGGTGCAGCAGGGTTATGGATATTTTACAGCCTGTACGTAAAGTCAGTCTCTCTTTCAGTCGTGGGACTGACAAAACTCGCACCGCTTGCAGCCTTGTCCGTCTTTTCAGACTTTGCGTTGGCCGTCTTCCCCGTCACCGTGTTGTGGAATTTGCACATGGAGTGGCGACTGAAGATGAGCCTCATGTTTTTCATGGGCCTGGGAGCATTGTAGGTGACCTCTCTCTCTTTCTCTCTTTTACTTCCTTTTTTTTTCAATTTTTTTTTTCAATTTTTTTAATTTTTATTATTTTTATTTTTTTTCTTGGGCAAGCTGACACTGGCATACCAACATCACAAAAGTGCTGGCATTGCGTCCATTGTCAAGACCATGAAACTCGAGACGCTCTCCTCCCGAGGCGACTATACGTGTAGGGAATCCCTGCGCTTTGACAGACGCTCTGACGGAAATTGACTTTCGGGCCAATGCAGATGAAACAGTTGACCTAATCATCTGGATGATGTGAGTGGGCGCTAAAAAAAACTCGATGGCCTTTAGACTCTAAACAAGACATGTCCTCTTCTCCCCGTGCTCTGGCAAAAAACACTGACGCTGTTGGACAATCAGGACCGAACAATTCTGCATCATCATCGCCGCGTGCATTCCGCCCATGCGCTCCCTCTTCGTCAACATCTACCGCAAAGTCTTCAACATCCAGTCCACCCACGACGCATCGTCAAATAAAACGGGTGGCACGAAATCCAGACGAGGCTACGTCAACCAGCCCTCGCAAACCGAGCAGCACCGTCTGTCGCGCATGGAGTCGGGCTACTGGCGGAATGAGACGGAGATTTCGGCCGCGGCCTATCGCTCAGAACCAGACGGTGACAATTCGAGTGGACATGCTGATCGGAGGAGCGACAGCGATGAATTGCTAAGGGACCAGCACAGGGGAATTGTGAAGAGAACCGAGGTGATGGTTTCTGAGCATCGGATGTGAGCAAGAAGGGAGGCGGGGATGTTGTGCTTGTGCCATTCACCATTTGCGATTTGAAACGCTGTCGAGGGGATATTATTCCCCCCCCCAAAAAAAAAGGAAAAAAAAAAAAGAAAAAACGATCAACAACACTGGACCTGTGGCTGCCGCGGGAAAAGCATGTCTCAACCATGCGGTTGTGTCGTGGTTGAGCCCGTAAACGGCTATGACGACATGACGAACACCACCAAGCACGAGGGCTGAATAAATGGGCCTCCAGCCATCAAACCGAACATCTGCCCAGATGTTGTGTGTCTAGCATCGCATCTGTCCCATCTGCGTATCAGATAAATCATCGCTGGATTTTCATCGGCCACTTGAAACGGAGATTGCGTCAACTCTTAGCTACTATATCAAAAGGGGTCATCATCCTCTCACAGAATCTATCGTGTCTCCAAGAACCGTGCCAAAGAAAAAAAAACACACACACTTCGATATGACGGACGTTTTCACCGGAAAATACAAACTCGTCAAAAGCACCGGTTTCGACGAGTTCCTCTCAGAGCTAGGTAGACGCGACCCAGGGCGGTGCCGTACTCGAGACCTTGACCTTGACTTACTCCAACATAGGCGTGCGCACGATAAAGCGCCAACTGGCGAAATCCGCATCTCCGGAAATCGAAATAGAAAGAAACGGAGATGGGTGGCATGTGAAGAGTAAAGCTGGACTAGGAAGTTCCGAGTTTACATTTAAGCTGGGCGAGGAGTTTGAAGAAATCCGCCAGGACGAGGCCAAGGTCCGCAGTGTGGTGGTTCAGGACGGCAACAAGTGGACGCAAACGCAGACACCCTTGGATGGCAGCAAGATTGTGACTATTGTTCGCGAATTCAAGGATGCGCAGATGACGACTAGCGCGACTGTTGGGAACGTCACTGCTGTCCGGATTTTTGATCGCGTTGTGTAGTTTTTTTTTTTTTCTTTTCTTTTTTTCCTCTCCTTTTCAGGACGAGTTGATGGTGGCGCCTGGACTAGCTTGGATATGCGTAGTAACGAGGATACATAATAAAGCTCAATGAATACAAGATGCCCAAGGAGTCAAGAGGTTCGTTCAGCTCGCCTCATGTCAGGGACCAGACAAAATTCACGGCCAAAACGCCACGCACCGCCACACACAATACATGTCGCAAAGTGCCCTACTATTTCTGTCATGCCCTGCCCCTCCTCCCCCCCTGCTGCCCCTCGCCTCTCGCCGTCGACCTCCTACAACCCTCAGACCCTAGTAGTGCTTTCTAGAATAACCGACTTCATCAACGTAGACGTCATTGCCTGGAGCCTTATCTGCGAGAAACCAACCTTCTCAGTCACGTCCTCTTCCCAGTCGACGACATCCAATCCCACACCCGCACCCGTGCGGCGCCTTTGCAGATTCCACGCTCAATCTCTTGCCGCGACAAAAAAGCCTACTCCCCGGGAGCACACAACAATGTCGTCAGCCATCATCTCCGCCGACGACGCTCTCGAGCCCACGCTCCAGTCCCTCCTCGACCAACGTTCCCTCCGCTGGATCTTTGTCGGCGGTAAAGGCGGTGTCGGCAAGACCACAACATCATGCTCCCTGGCCATTCAGCTCGCCAAGGTCCGCCGCTCAGTGCTCCTGATTTCCACCGACCCGGCACACAACCTCTCCGATGCGTTTTCTCAAAAGTTCGGCAAGGAGGCCCGTCTGGTCAATGGCTTCGACAACTTGAGCGCCATGGAGATTGACCCCAACGGCAGCATGCAGGATCTGTTGGCCGGCCAGGGCGAGGAAGACATGAACGCCATGGGCGGCGGCATAGGTGGCATGATGCAGGATTTGGCATTTGCTGCAAGTTACACCCCTCCTTGACGTTTTTTTCTTTGCTTTTTTTTATTATTATTATTATTTTTTTTTTATAAATATAACTTCACCACTCGCAACACAATGTCAACTAACTTTGCGTCATGAAAAAAAAAGATCCCCGGTATCGACGAAGCCATGTCCTTCGCCGAAGTCCTCAAACAAGTCAAGTCGCTCTCGTACGAAACCATCATCTTCGACACCGCGCCCACCGGCCACACCCTGCGCTTCCTCCAATTCCCCTCGGTCCTCGAAAAGGCCCTCGCAAAGGTCTCCCAGCTCTCCTCCCAGTACGGGCCCTTGCTCAACGGGGTCCTCGGCTCGGGCGGCACCCTCCCCAACGGACAGAACCTCAACGAGATGATGGAGAAGCTCGAGTCGCTGCGTGAGACAATCTCGGAAGTAAACACGCAGTTCAAGGACGCCGACCTGACGACCTTTGTGTGCGTCTGCATCGCCGAGTTCCTGAGTCTCTACGAGACGGAGCGCATGATTCAGGAGCTGTCGAGCTACGGGATCGACACGCACTGCATCGTCGTGAACCAGCTGCTGTTTCCCAAGAAGGCGAGCGAGTGTGAGCAGTGCAACGCCAGGAGGAAAATGCAAAAGAAGTACCTGGACCAGTACGAGGAGTTGTACGCCGAGGATTTCAACGTCGTCAAGATGCCCTTGTTGGTGGAGGAGGTGCGAGGGAAGGAGAAGCTGGAGAAGTTTAGCGAGCTGCTGATGAAGCAGTATATTCCTCCAGAGTAGGGTTTCACGATTTGGACATGCATGCTGGGCGATTGAAGCGGGCGTTGTTGTGGCGTGGGTGTGTGATGATGGGGTCATATTTCGTCATGATGGACATGGTGGACATGATACGCGTACACGAAGCGTCACATTGGTCATGATACACATATATAGAACCGGAACAAAGGATTTGCTTGGGAAAAGTGTATAATGAATTTTTTTTATTTTTTTTATTTTTTTTTTTTGGATTTGTTTTCTCTGCAAAGAGTCATGATGAGACCTGCGGTCATGGTATTTGGAAGAATTCTTCCTGAACCGAGCCAATCCATTTACGCCGTAGCAATGCCAATTCATCTGTTAAACTGCCACCCTTTGCTCTGCAAGCCAAACAAGGTGGCCTGCCAAGTCAACGCCATTGAAAAGAAATAAGAGGGCAAAAGGCCCCGTTCCCAACGCCGATCCAAAAAAGCGAAAAGATGAAATAAAAGCAACGAAAGGCCACTAACTACGAATATCCGTTTGGCTCAAGCATTTGTGTCGAGGTCGCCAGCCGCCGTGATGATAATATGCAGTTGATCCGGACCCAACAGCAATCCTTTTGGACGAGCACATGTCATCCTGGGCACCAGACGCGAGAGAGCTTGTCGTCAAAGTCACAATTCGCGGTAGTCGCTGGGCCTGATCCTGCGCTGCTTGTTTTGGTGGCGATGAGGGTTGACCGGCTTTCGAAAATAGGCATCCTCATCAGCCTGGTTGTTCTGCTGGCCGAAATTCTGCCCTCCATTTTGGAAACCGCCCATGCCGCCGCCCATGTTTCCCATATTTCCGCCCATTCCGTTCATGGCAATCATACCATTCATGCCGCCCATGCCACCCATGCCACCCATGCCACCCATGCCGCTCATGCCGGACATACCGCCCATACCGTTCATGCCGTTCATACCGCTCATATCCCAGCCGCCGTTCATCCCAAAACCTCCACCCATGTTTCCGAAATTTGGCATGCCCATCATCGGCATGCCCATCATGTTGGGTGGCATTCCCATATTCATGTTCATGTTCATGTTCATGCCGGGCATCCCCATCATATTTGGGGGCATCATGCCCATGCCGTTAAACATCATGTTGGGCATACCCATGTTTGGCAGGCCGTTCATCATGTTGTTCATGCCATTCATGTTGCTTTGCTGGTTTTGCATCGCTTTGGGGCCTTTGGGGATTTTTGGGTTTTCGAGAAAGTCGTCTGCTGGCCGTTTCTTCGGAATGACCTCTTGGGTATTCGACTCGTCCACAGCTTGCTTGTCCTCGGACTTGACAACCTGCATTTCACCTTCTGCGGCAACTGTGGGTGACTTGACGGTGGCTTCTGGAGGGGTCGGAGACTTCTGTGTTGTTTTCGACTCATCTTGGTTTTCCGACGGCTTTCCCTCTGTCCCCTGCTCTTCATCATCAGACCTGGCATCGACTTCCTCAGTGCCGTTCTCAGGGGCAGCAACATCACCCTTGGGAGACGCTGGCGGAGGGCTCTTGGCAGTCTCCTTTTCCTTGAGGTATTCCTGCATCTTCTTTGATGTTTCGTCGTCAGGCTGAAGATCATCGATTAGCACACCTTCGGTTTGACATGCAGGGCAGACGAAGTCGCTTTCGATGAGAGCATTGGTTATGCAATCATTGCAAAACGTCTTCTTACAGCAAGGTGTCTTCATTGGTTCTATGAACATCTTTTTGTCAATCGAACATTGTAGACCCCTCTCCTGCACTTCCTGATCTTCGGCTTGAGCTTCTTTGTTCGCCGTAGACGACTTGGCTTTGGCCTGATATTGCTCCCATGATGCCTTGTCCGGCTCTGCAATGACAAATTCTCCCTCGGCATTGACCATGATGCCAGATGGTCGTTTAGATTCATCGCCATCTGTCTGGGCCAATACAACCGACTTGTCAACTTTCTGGAGGAAAGATCGGGGGATGCCAGTGGTCCTCTTCACACGGGGCCGGTTATCAAAATCAGGATCATCGTTTGTTGGGCAAAGCTGAATCCAATGCCCTTTATTGCCACAGCGGTAGCAAATGTATCCCTGAGGAGGATCATGGTCAGGGACATTCGCCGGCTTCTTAGCTCCGGGTTTGAAAACGGGAGCTTGACTATGAATGTGTTAGCTGGGTTTCTGTACTCAATGTAGAGACGCAGGCACTTACTGAGACATTTCTTCCTGTTGGGCAGACCACTGTTCTGTCTGGGCCGCAAACATAGCCGCCATTTTCTCCTCCTCCGTCATGGCATTGTTCATCTCACTGATAGCAGTGGCACTCGGCTTTGATGATGAGGCCTTGGATGACTGCTCTTTCCGGCCTGCATTCTTTGCAGTCACCGGCATCTTGCCTGAAACATATCTTGCGGCTCTGCCGGCTCCAGGTTTCAGAGCTGGCTGTCGCCGAGCTATGACGGTTGTTGATCTGGGAATGATGGTCGTGTCATCGTCATATTCTAGGCAAGGGTTAGCATCTTTGCAACTCGGCTCGTTTGGTAGCTTGCGGGAAATACGCACCTTCACTGTTGTCATCGGTGTATATGAAGAGGTCGAAATCTGTGCCATCTCCCAGGCCACTCTTGTTGATAATTTCACGCTTCAACTCAAAAACCGAGATACCTGTTCCGTCAAATTCCACTCGGGTGGGTTCTTTCTGAGACTTAAACTTGAAAAACACTGATGATGCCATTTTGAGATCTGATTGATTCAGGCAAATCCTTTGTTACGAGGAATGCAGACAGCAGCAATGTCAGTAGCGTTGGCGAACGTCGCGAAGCGTTGTACCAGTAAATGCTCAATCGCTCGCCCAAAATGAAATCAAAATTGAATTGTTTTCTCTTTTTTTTTTCTTGTGCTAGAGACGGCAGTTATTTCTTTTGAGTGATTTCCCTTCTCTTGAAATTTCTCTCCTTTATTTTGTTTCTTCTCTCGCACTCGAGTGCTATTCAGGATAAGTTGAAAATTAAATAGTCAATTCTGATTGTACTTGGAAACAAAACAAATGAATATAGAGGTTAGAGGGTTGAACAATAAGGAGTACAATAGGCAGACGCCCGAGGAATATGCTAGCCCACACGTTCCACCTCACAACCGATTCAACCACGAGAATACACCCACCGCTCCAGAAACGCCTCGAGTTAGCCAAAGAGCCTGATATCTAGATATCCTTGCAAAAAAGCAAGCGCGCGACACTGAAATGGGGGTTATGTTCCGTCTTGAGCTTGTCGAACCACTTCGTCGTTGTTCGTCAAAGGGGTGATGGCGGAAGATCATGCACTATCCGCGTGATGCGGCTGGGCAAGGTCACGAGTGGCGCAGAGTCGTCTGTGTGGGCATCAGCCAGCTGTCGATTAGTGCAAACGATTCCCCAGAAGCCAGAGTTGAAAAATCTGACGATCCAACGATGGATATGTCGACAGATGATGGGGGAGGGAAATGGGTTGAAGTTGGTTGATGAGGAGAAAAGCTGGAGAAGCGCAGGGAGACAGGCGATCCATTAATAATGACTAGCTTCGGCCAAATGCGACGCAAATACCCGGGGCCAAGTTTCGCGGACAAACACAATATCCGGTTTCCGATAAACATCTCGCGAGTACTACTAAGGAAGTACGTACTCCATTGTGTCCATTTTTAGCGTCTACGGTGGATCTGGTCACGCAAAAAGTTCCTTTCACCGTCAGCACATTTCCATTGGCTGCCGGGATAGCCGTTCCTCCCGCTCCTTCTCTTTGCAAGTGCAGTTGCGTCGCGTCCTACCTCGAGTGTGCAGCAGCACCCAAGCATCTCCCCCACCTGCTACAAAAGGTCAGGTAACTAACTACCTAGGTAGTATGCGCAGCGAATAGTGATGCCCCGCACCGTCTTGCTACAGGCGGCGCTCTGCCATACTCCTCGAGCAACTCATAGGAGATCTCTCCCCCTCAATTTCTTATATTCTTCATTAAAATCGCAATTTCAGGGGAAGATTTCTTGTCGTCGTTCATACCTCACAGACTCTATCCGCGCCCATCAAGCTAAAAAGATGGCTCCCCAACTTGACAGCTACTTCAAACAGGTGGACGATTCCGCCAAACACTTCATTGAGCGCCTCCGCAAGGCCGTTGCCATTCCCTCCATTTCAGCCGAGGACGCTCGTCGTCCCGATGTCGTTCGCATGGGAGAATGGCTCGCCGGCGAGTTGAAGAGCTTGGGAGCTGAGGTCGAGCTTCGACCTCTTGGCAAACAGCCTCACAAGGAGCACCTTGATCTCCCTCCCGTTGTCCTCGCTCGCTACGGAAATGATAAGAACAAGCGAACGATCCTTGTATATGGCCACTACGATGTTCAGCCTGCCGAGAAGAGCGACGGCTGGGCTACCGAGCCTTTCGAACTGGCTGTTGACGACAAGGGTCGCATGTTTGGTCGTGGTTCTACTGACGACAAGGGACCTGTCCTGGGCTGGCTTAACGCTATTGAGGCTCACCAGAAGGCTGGCATCGACTTTCCCGTCAACCTGTTGATGTGCTTTGAGGGTATGGAAGAGTACGGCTCAGAGGGTTTGGAGGAGTTCATCCGGGCTGAAGCCAAGAAGTATTTTGCCGATACCGATGCTGTCTGTATTTCTGACAACTACTGGCTCGGTACCGAGAAGCCTTGCCTGACTTACGGTCTACGAGGCTGCAACTACTATTCTGTCGAAGTCTCTGGTCCTGGAGCTGATCTTCATAGTGGTGTTTTTGGTGGCACTGCTCAGGAGCCCATGACTGACCTGGTTCGCGTCTTGGGCTCGCTTGTCGACACTAACGGCAAGATCCAAATCCCTGGGATCATGGAGCAGGTTGCCCCCGTCACCAAGGAAGAGGAAGGCCTCTATGATGGCATTTCTTTCACCATGGACAACATTTTTGAGTCGCTGGGGAGCAAGACCACAATCCACGACGACAAGAAGAACACTCTGATGGCACGTTGGAGATACCCCTCCCTGTCAATCCATGGTGTTGAAGGTGCTTTCTCTAGCCCTGGAGCTAAGACGGTCATTCCTGCCAAGGTCATTGGAAAGTTCTCAATCCGAACTGTGCCCAATATGGACATTGACACCACCAATAACTGCGTCTACAAGTACGTTGAAGAGCAGTTTGCCAAGTTGAATAGCAAGAACACTATGAAGGTCTACGCGCAGCACACTGGCAAGTGGTGGGCTGCCTCTCCCAAGCACTGGAACTTCTCCGCAGCTGCCAAGGCTACCGAGCGTGTCTGGGGCGTTCAGCCTGACTTCACGCGTGAGGGTGGAAGGTAAGCAGGATTCAAGCCATGTAATGGTGGATACATTCAAGAAGCTAACCTGGTTTTCAGCATCCCCATTACTCTTACCTTCGAGGAGGCTACCGGGAAGAACGTCCTTCTGCTTCCCATGGGAAGTTCAACCGATGGTGCCCACTCGATCAACGAGAAGCTGGACAAACGAAACTACATTGAGGGCATCAAGCTCCTCGGGGCGTACCTGCACTACGTTGCCGAGGAGCCCCAATCGTAGGTGAAGGATTGAACGAGGACAAAACTAAGTGAGCTGTATAGTATAACGGATAATTAGGATATGGCCATAATGGCCGAATATACAACTACCATGCTGCCGTGTTTGTGTGCGCAGGGTGTGAAACTGGTCGTGAACATGGCGGAGCTGGGACACCGAGTGACATCTCCAACTGTAACAGGTAGTGGCGCAAAAATCCCCATATCAGCGCCGACCAGATGCCGAACGGCCCAAGCGCATGTCCCAAGAGGTCCTTGCCAAGACCCGCTCAATCTAGGAACTGATGTTGATGGACGGGCACAGCAGATGAGAGTATTTCATGTCAGTTTATACGCAGGAGAAGGGAGCTAGTTTTGCGTCTCGGTTTTGGTCTTTCGGAAGACTTGGGCTACAAGCACCACGAATGCTAAAGCTGGCCTAGCGCCATCAGACCATGACATGTCTGGTATCAAATGTACGGAATATCTTACGAAAGGGAGTATGTACGTGAAGTACTTAGAAGTACTTACGTGCCAACGCCTTGACCACCCAGCCTTCACTCGGAACTATGATACGTTGACGGTCTGGCATGCGGGGTTGGTTTGGTGGTCATGTCACCCGCCCATGTGAGATTCGCTGTTGGTCGCGGTGTCGAATGTCCCATTACATCCTCTTGTCTCTTTGGACTTTGAACTTGCGCATGCCTTGTTGGCCCCCGCTGGTTTCTGAGAGAAACGCAGCGTCCTTGACGAATTCGTGTCCGGCAGGCTCTGTGCGTCTCTGACCGGTTGCATTATTGGACGTTGTGCTTCATAGATTGACATCCAGAACAGCACCGCACCCTGGTCGGCAGTGTTCCCGTCAAAATGGCCCGGAGACGCAGCACTACCAGCATCTCAGCAACACGGCCCGTCTTTCCAAGTTTCTTGCTGCCAAGTTTTAATTTCGCCTTCCACCGACGGCGATCGATGCTTGGTTCGTCGTCTACGGCCTCATCAAGTCCAGCAGGCTCGGCCGTCTCGTCGACACTGACAACACCCTCCAACAGCCCACCGGCACATGGCCCGGCCTCCAAACACCCAACTTCGGAACGTTGCTTATCGCGCAGCGCCCCAGATACCCTTCGCTGCATGACCTGCTCGACGGATCTGGCTCTCACATCGCAGATTATCTCAAAAGGCTTTACCGGTCGCTATGGACGAGCTTTCTTAGTCGCGCCGCCGCCGCCGCCAGCTGACAACACGACTCTTCTGAATATTCGCATTGGAAGAAGTGAGGACAGGCAGCTCGTTACCGGGTGGCACGTTGTTGCGGATATTTGTTGTGCGACATGTACACGCAAGCTCGGATGGAAGTATGTTGATGCTACAGAGCCGTCGCAAAAATACAAGGTGGGAAAATATATCCTGGAGACGGAACGAGTCATGTCGCACCGGAGCTGGGAGGACTATAATGTCCAGGATCTCGGGTTTCTTGGACAAGAAGGTCGCGAGATTGAAGGGCGGAGCAGCGATGAGATTGTGTTTGATTCGGATGACGATGAGGAGTGTGAGGACATATTCGCGGGGACATGGGATGCTGCTACGGTAGCCAAGAGAAGGAGTGAGTCGATTGCGAGACGGATTTCGGCGATGGAGTAACTTGGGCGTGTTGCTTGGTTCGGCACCATGGTTTCTGGCGTTTGCGGGCTTGGTTTTGGGAGACATTTGTTGGGCAGACTTGGACAATGCAGTGAACGGATTGATACCCAGCTTGAGCCCAATTCTAGATGAATAATTTGAATAATACCCGGAATGCACTTGGATAGGCATTCTGTATAGGAATAACGAGCAGTATTTCATGGCCGCGTCTACTTTCTCCCAGGATTCAACTCTCACTTGTTGCCCAGGCTGTGATGAGCAGCAGCCTTAGAGGCACTTCTGCGAATCATCATTATCATGATGGGTTCCAAAATACTTGGGATAACCGGCTCGACCTGCGATGATACCTATGAGGCGGCACTGTTTGTTCATCACAGCTCTCACCCATCTGCCCAGTACACCTCGCAAGTGGTTGGTCACGCATCTGCAAATTTCCCGCACCAGGTACACCGCATCGAGCAATGGCCGACTCTGCCGAACCGAGAGCAAGGGGTAAGTAACTACTAGGTACCGGGTGCATGGTTGGATCGTTGCGGTTTGGTGCCACCGGCTACTTGCATGAGTTCATGGAGGGAAGATGCCGTATGATGTATCTATAGGAATGTTTGCCAACATTGCAAAATTGGCCATGAGCACTCACATGACCAAGCCATACAGGGAGATGGAGCTCGGTGATTATGCTTCCGAAATACAATTCCACACGCACGATGATCAATTTCCTGCACTGATACACGGAATGGGATCCCCGATACCTTACAACAGCGACGGCGAAGTGAATTTGCTCACGTTGGCGCACAAAACCACGCCGGATTACTGACTACCTAGTTACTTAAGTAGTTAGCTGTATGGCTAAACCTTGGAATAAATAAAGTTGAATGGCTCTTGACTAGCTAGAGTCAACCCAGAGCCATCACTCTGCCCAATACATCTTGGTAGTTTCAGGAAAGCATTTCTAGTAGCCCAAGTTGGCATTGACTTGGATTGGTACAAGAACACACCAGGTCATTAAGCATATGTATGGCTAAACCTTGGAGAATTCAAGGTCGCCCGGCTCTTACTCAGAGTCAGCAGCCCATGGCCATTTTTCTAAGTGATTGAGTGCTGCCTGGCGTGTTTGAGCAGTCCATGTCTGCCGGCTCCGGATGTCGGTGGCTGAGGCTACCCAGTTGACCCATTGATGGAGGGACATCTGGAGGCTCAACCAGCAAGCAAACTTGACATGAACTCAGTTGAGTCTGGTTCAATTGGTCAACTGGTGGTAGCCAGTGACCCTTTGGCAACTAAGTGGGATAGTGGCTCGTCCACGTAGTCGCTGACAGGTCACACTCACTGACTTCAATGTTCAGTGCCGGCCCTCACAGCACCAAAAGCGCTGCACTTTGGGGCTGTCGTGCCATGGTCGCGGTACATGGATTCCACCGCCCGCTCCCGCCACCTTGGCCGGCCTCAAGTCACGTGGCAAGGTACCGCCAGCCTAGCCCCCGTCGCTGCAGGGCCCAACACAGGTTTGGCTTGGGTACAAAGGCGGCCGAGCGAGAGTGCCTCTCCAACTCTTTCCTGACTCTCTCTCCACTGGTGCTTTTTTTAAAACTGATATTCCCACCGTCAGTCCCCTTCCAACACCAGCGTCCCCAGTCTGCTGTCTGCTACTCAGCACAACCCGGGCTTCTTTATAGGAATCCGGCATTCATTTCTGATGCTGTCAACTACGTGACCGCCATTCCATCCATGAATGACTTGTGAGTTGTCCCTGCCTCGTCCCTTGACCGCCCGTGCCACTCTCTGTTTCCCAGCCGCATGTTGCCGGTTCGCCATTATCCCGAACATCGCTTCGTCGATATCAACGCTTTCCGAGCTTGGGTATGCCCTCTCCAATGCTCCAAAGTGATGAACACGATGTCTACCGATGATCCGGATGCAGCTGAGCCCTCTATGCTGTCTCTACTGCCCACTTCACTCTGCAATCGCTTCATCCGTGTCCGCCAGCCTAGCCATCACCAACCCACGTGTGAATGCGATTACATCCATTGTTCCATCAGTTTCAGTCATAAACGACTCTGAGGGGCGTGTTTTCGTGTCGCGAGCTCCCCTAAATCGACCCAATGCATTCATTCCTCTGGCAAACGAGGCTTCAGAACATGTCTGCTAACATTTTACTTCTCTTAGCAAGCACTACGCGCGAAAGCAGCTACCATGAGCTCCCCGGTTGTGATGGGTCCTGTTAATGGACACTTGTCGCCGGACGATGCCATGACATCTACAGTTGACGCCGAGGTCGGGCAGAGCGATACCGATATCCCCGATGCTCATGAAAGCCCAATGGACCGCTCATCGCCGTCGGCCTCGGAAGCCCAACCCCACGAAACGCCAGACCAAGTCGACGAAGATCGAGCCTCTTCGGATGGTGATGGATCTAGTCCAGACAATGCGTCCGAAGATGGCGACTTTGACATGCAGGAGAGCGTTGCTTCTCACCAAGACGACGACGCTGAAGTAGACCGCGAGAGCTCACCCGCCTCCAGCCGCCCATCAAAACGGAAAACAACAGTAGCCGAAGAAGACTATATGCGAGAAAATCCAGAGCTCTATGGGCTCCGAAGAAGTGTATGCGCCAGAGATCAATGTATATGAGGCATTAATTGCAATTGCTGACCAAATGACCTAGACACGCGCCAGAGAAACGAGAAAAATGGTATGCCTCCCCGACACGACCCTCTCGACCGTGTCGCATTGAACTCACACATTTCTAGGTGGACTCTGATGACTCCGACTCAGAGGATGATGAGCCCGTGAATCGCCGCCAAGCAAAGAGACGGCGCGTCAACACATTCAACACATCCCAGCCTTGTAAGTGTGCGTTTTGCCATCTAGGCATCCTGCCCAACATGCTAATCATCACCCTCACGTCACCAGCGTCCAAGAGAAACACACCTCTTTTACAACCGTCTACAAACGAGTCTGATTCTGATTCCGACACGTACGGCGGAGCCCGAGCAAAGAGCCAGCTGAAAAAGGCGAGATTACAGAGAGAGTCACAACCTGCCCTCGCACTTGCCGAGAAGAGATGGTCAAGCCGCCGCGCTGCTCAACAAGTCCAGCAGGGCATGTATGAGGAAAGCGACTTTGAAGACGATGAAGACGAGGCGGACATGGCATCGGCATACTATGTTGCTGACTACGTGGACGACTCGCCATATGTTGAAAAAGTGGTGCGTCACCGGCTCAAAGATGGGCTGGAGTTGCAGTACGATGCCAGCCGTCACGACTTTGAATATTTCATCAAGTGGCAGGGCAAGTCTCATTTACATGACACTTGGGAAACCATTGAGTCGTTGCGTAACATGCGCGGTTTTCGCAAGGTCGAAAACTATTTCCGAAAAGTCGTTGAACAGGAGCTGGATATACGGTTTGGAGATGACATCCCGCCCGAGACAAAGGAGCAGTTCTTCTTGGACAGAGAACGAGATGAAGATGCCTTCGAAGATTACACCAAAGTCGAGCGAGTGGTCAATGTTCGCGACGGGGAAGACGACACCGAATACTATGTCAAGTGGAAGGGACTCACATACGAGGAGTGTACCTGGGAATTGGCATCAGAAATAAGTCCCGAGTTTCAAGACAAAATCGATCAGTACCTTGATCGATCATCACGGTCATGGCAGTCTGACCGACGCGAAACAAACCCTGATACCCGAGGCAGGATGATCAAGCTGGACAGCCAACCGTCTTACATCCAGGGTGGTGAGCTCCGCTCATTTCAGCTGAAGGGTCTCAACTTTTTGTGCCTCAACTGGACAAGAGGCAATAATGTCATCCTGGCTGATGAAATGGGCCTTGGTAAGACTGTTCAGACTGTTTCGTTCCTCAGCTGGCTTCGAAATGACCGTCGACAAGAGGGACCGTCACTTGTGGTGGCCCCTCTCAGTGTCATTCCCGCCTGGTGTGATACATTTAATCACTGGGCTCCCGACATCAATTATGTCGTCTACCTCGGTCCTGAGGATGCGCGCAATATCATTCGCGAGAATGAATTGATCGTTGATGGCAATCCCAAGAAGCCAAAGTTCAATGTTCTTGTCACATCATATGAATTTATCCTGCAAGACTGGCAGTTCCTACAAACAATCAAGTGGCAGACTCTTGCTGTTGATGAGGCTCATCGTCTGAAGAATCGAGAGTCACAGTTATACGCGAGACTTTTGGGTTTCGGCGTTCCATGCAAGATTCTCATTACTGGCACCCCAATCCAGAATAATCTAGCCGAGTTATCGGCCTTGTTGGATTTCTTGAACCCCGGAAAGGTCGACATTGACGAAGATTTGGACTCGCTATCCGCAGTTGACGCACAAGAGAAACTAGAAGAACTGCACAAGTCTATTGCACCTTATATTTTACGAAGAACGAAAGAAACAGTAGAGTCCGATTTACCACCGAAGACGGAAAAGATTATCCGCGTCGAGTTGTCTGACGTTCAGTTGGACTATTACAAAAACATCTTGACGAGGAATTATTCTGCCTTGTGCGATGCAACTGGTGGCCACAAAAACTCTTTGCTGAATATCATGATGGAGCTCAAGAAAATCAGCAATCATCCATACATGTTCCCTGGTGCCGAAGAACGTGTGTTGGCTGGCAGTGTTCGTCGTGAGGACCAGATCAAAGGCCTGATCACCAGCAGCGGGAAAATGATGCTTCTCGATCAGCTTCTGTCAAAGCTTAAGAAGGATGGTCACCGGGTCCTCATTTTTAGTCAAATGGTCAAAATGCTTGACATTCTGGGAGATTACCTGTCCTTGCGAGGTTACAAATTCCAGCGTCTCGATGGTACCATTGCTGCTGGTCCACGTCGCATGGCCATCAATCATTTCAATGCTGATGACAGTGAAGATTTCTGCTTCTTGCTGTCGACCCGTGCCGGTGGACTGGGCATTAATCTTATGACCGCCGACACCGTCATTATCTTTGACTCTGATTGGAACCCTCAGGCCGATTTGCAGGCTATGGCTCGAGCTCATCGTATCGGCCAGAAACGTCCCGTCAACATTTACCGTCTTGTGTCCAAAGAGACGGTGGAGGAAGAAGTGCTTGAACGCGCTAGGAATAAGCTTTTGCTGGAGTACCTGACCATTCAGGCGGGCGTCACTGACGATGGCAAAGCAGCATTCAAGGAGAAGCTGAATAAGAAGGGTCTCAAGACAGACGGCCCTTCATCTTCCGAAGACATCCAAATGGTCCTGAAGATGAGGTCGTCCAAGATGTTCGAGCAAAGTGGTAACCAAGAGCGGCTTGAGCAACTGGATATCGACTCAATCTTAGAAAATGCAGAAGTTACCAAGACCAAGGTTGACGACAAGATGAACCTTAGCAGCGGTGGCATTGACTGGGACAACTTCATGCAAATTACTGATGTGAAAGTGGATGACATCAATTTGGACTGGGACCAGATTATCCCTGCTGATAAATTGGCAGAGATCAAGGCGGACGAGGAGAAACGCCAGAATGAGGAGTATGTTGCCAAGTTGGCGGCGGAAAATGCACCTCGCAGAGCTACAATTAAGAACCGCAACAAGGAGAATGATCGTGCTGATCGTCTCAAGAAACGCCAACGGGAACAACAGCAAGAGGAGGAAGAACAGCGAGCCCTATTAGCAGACCCAAAACGGCCATTGACCGACAAGGAGCAGCGAAATCTGATCAAAGCATACTTCCGGTTTGGATCCATGGATGATCGCGAATCTGATATTATCCAGGAAGCCAAGCTTGTAGAGAGAGACCATGAATTTGTCAAGTCTGTGCTAGACGATTTCATTACAGCCGCTCAGCGGGCTGTGGATGACAACAACATGAAGCTTGTGGAAGAAGAAAAGAAGACGGGAAAGAGTCTGACAAAGAAGGATCGGAAAGCTGTCCTTATCGACTTTGGTGAATTGAAAAAGGTCAATGCTGAGACAGCAATTGAGCGTCCCAAACAATTGCAGCTTCTGCGAAAGGCCATCCGCAGCCAGTCAGACTGGAAAACCTATCGTCTTCCAGATGCCACCAAGGGTGCCAACTACACATGTGCTTGGGGAGCCAGAGAGGATGCAATGCTTCTTGTTGGTATTGACAGGCATGGATTTGGAGCGTGGGTACAAATTCGTGATGATCCTGAACTCGACATGCAGGACAAGCTGTTCTTGGAGGAGCATAGAGTCGGCAAGAAGGAGGAGCGAAACAAGGCAAACGACAAGCTGAAAGCACCAGGTGCAGTTCACCTTGTTCGTCGGTCTGAATATCTGCTCTCTGTTCTTCAATCCAAGTACTCTGGTGATCGGGCGGCACAGCGAATCGTGGATAATCATCACCGAAACAACAAGAAAAACAGTGTGCCCAACGGCCATCGTGGGAGTGGAACCGCATCACCCGCTCCTCATGCTGTTAAGAAGCATCGTGACAGAGACCGCGATGATCAGCGGGCTCGAAGCAATACAGACGATCGTGGATCAGCTAGACCCGATTTCAAGCGAAAACACGCATCATCCTACGAGGATGATCGCAGCCCAAAACACCGCCGAGTTGAAGATGGTCGTCGGCTAAGCAAACACGGCATTGACCGTGACCGTGACCGTGATAGGCTGGATCATCGTCGCTATCGAGACGATGATGATCGACGACATGATAAACATCGACATCGGCACGACGATGAACGACGCCGCGATGAGCGACGTCGGGACGACGATAGATATCGTGACCGTGACCGTGATCGCGATCGTGAGCGAGACAGAGACAGAGACCACCGGGACCGCCACAGAGATAGGGATAGAGAGCATGCTCGAGACAGAGACAGAGACAGAGACAGAGACCGGGACCGTGATCGTGACCACGATTCACGCCCTCAAGATGAGCGAAGGACCAAAGCCCTACGCCGTTTGGATGAGCTCCGCCGCATTGGTGACAACAAAGATGAGCGCAACAGGGACAACGACGCCATGATTTGGTACCTCCTAAAACCTGTCCGCGAAAACTTTGAAAAGATTTTGTCTACAACCAAAGATAATGTCAAGTCTAGCAAAGAGCGTGCGGCAATTTTCGGAGTAGAGCTAGTTGCTATAGGCACTTTTCTTGACGAAAAGCTCCCCGTCACTGCGGCTGATGAAAGTCTCAAGAACAATTTTTGGTATGTATATACCCAATACTGAAATGTGTGAAACATGCAAAACTAATCCTAGGGACGACAGGGATTTCCTAGCTGCACTCTGGCCGGTTGACGATACTAGCAAGAGCGTCACTGGCAAACGATTGAGCAACATGTATCGTACACTCCACGCCCGCAACAAAGATTCAGGATCCAGCTCTACACGAATGAATGGAGCATAGAGGATCATAAGAAAAGCCTGCTTAGGTGTATGAGAGCGTTGACGTATTATATCTGAACCAGGCGAAAGGGGCCCTTGTTTAACTACCTGAAAAATTTTGACACTTTTATTTTTTGGCATTTGCATTAACTGGCGTTTTGGTACAATGGACAGCATTGAAGATTATGGCGTGGAAAAAGACTTGAAGCGACTACATACCCGGATTTGCATGGTAAAGCAGATGGTGCGGAGGAGTTTGTAATGGTCTATGGCTTGTGGAAACATGTTGGTCGTCTTTGAGCTAGGGAATAGGTCAAAGGAGACGATCGGTTGGGCGTCTCAAACGAGTCCGTTTGCTCGCTGTCAGAAAAGCAAGCATGGCCGTGGGATTGGGTTTGTGACAAACGGCACGCTCTTCTCGTCAGGCAGCAACGTGGGCACTGTGAAAATACTGAAGGAGTGGGGATGTGTCGAACTTTTATACAGTATTACCATAGAATACCCCCCCTTTCATGTCTTGTTCCGCATGAGGAGGGACCTCAAGCATGGACAGCTGGCAGCCATGTTGTCTTTAAGTTATATGCAATACAAACCATGTTGTTTGAGCGGGATCGCATGTTGCAGCATTGTGACGATGTGGAATATGTTGAGTGGGGAAGGAAGAACCGTTTGAATGCTGGTGAGGAAATAGTGTGGTGCGAATTGGATGAAGTCGTCAATGGCCAAATGGGCCCCACAAGTCCCATCAATATCGAAATCCGAAGTGCAAAGGGTTGAGTGAGCAACTGGGAACTCTGTAGCTCCCTCAGAAACGAGCATCAACACGCCGTCTCGCAAAACAAGAGAAAATAAGAAAGGTGTCACAATGCCGTCCTCCTGGGAGAAGGAGTTATCCATCGCACAATCCGCCGTGCTCAGAGCCGCCAGACTCACCAAAAGGGTCCTCTCGTCCGTGACAGAAGTCTCCAAGGCAGACTCGTCCCCCGTCACCATCGCCGACTTTGCCGCCCAAGCACTCCTCATCAGCATCCTCCACGCCGAGTTCCCGGACGACAAGTTTGTCGGCGAGGAGGACTCGGCCGTGCTCCGCAGAGACGAGAACCTGAGAGACAAGGTGTACGAGCTGTATTCCGCCGCGCGGGGAGACGGCTCGGCCACGAGCGTGGACGAAATGCTCGCCTTGATCGACATGGGGGGCCGCGGGACGGGCGGTGCGCAGGGACGGTTCTGGGCCATGGACCCGGTGGACGGGACGGCCACGTTTCTCACGGGGGAGCAGTACGCCGTTTCGCTGGCGCTGCTCGAGGACGGGCGGGAGGTGCTGGCGGCGGTGGTGTACCCCAACGTCAAGCTCGAGGGGGGCAGGATCCGCGAGGGCAGCGTCGACGGGGTCGGCCTGGGGGTGATGCTGAGCGCGGCGAGGGGCCGGGGGGCGCGCGTGACGTGGCTGGCTTCGTTTGACGGGCCGTACGAGACGGAGCGGCTGCCGAGGCTGGCGGCGAGCGATAGGGGGAATCTGCATGTCGTCGACTGCGACAAGAACCGCGCCTCGCATAGGAGGGTCATGAGGCGCGTCTGCGAGGAGCTCGGGGCCGCGTTTCCGGGCACGGACGTGTGGTCTTCGCATGTCCGGTACGCGGCTCTTGTCATCGGCGGCGGAGACTTCTTGGTGCGAATCCCCTCGGGGAGAGATGCGCGGTCGTGCGTCTGGGACCATGCGGGCGCGCAGTTGATTTACAGGGAGGTCGGGGGCAGGATCACCGATCTGGACGGACGCGAGGTGGACTTTTCGAGGGGCAGGTATCTGAGTGGGAATAGGGGGCTGGTCATGGCGAGGGAAAACGTTCACGACGAGATATTGCGTGTGGCGCGCAGGGCGGTGGGAGACGGGTGGGTAGAGTGATGGGTGGGAAGATGTCGCGTGTTTGGTTGATGTGAGTGGTCAAATATGAGAGTTGATGGTGGCGAGACTTGGGTGAGGCAGTGGTAATGTTATTGTACATACTCTCTACATCAGACTACTCCGTCCGCCAATTTCCATGCTCCCCTGTCCGTCTTTCATCTGGCCGCTTCTGCCCACGACAAACTCATGATAGATTCTCTGAAGACGAGCCTTTTCTTCGTTGCTGATACTTGCTCTTGTGTTGTCGAGAGCCTTGACCAAGTGGTCCCACTCAATGACGACTTCTCTATGTTGCGTCGATGGTGATTCTTTATTCTCGGAGGATTCTAGCGCGCCGTAACCTTTCTTTGCTTGCTTGGCGTTTTTGCGGGCAAGCTTTATCTGCTCTAGTTTGGACATGATGGCTGCGTTTTCGATGAGAGAGGCCGATTTACTCTGCGGTATGTTGTCCTTGGCAAGGGCCGGATCGGTGCCGTAGCGGAATTGGACAAAGCTGGGCGTGGAGTTGCGGACGGCAGAGTTGCCTCTGTTGCCAGCTCCATTACGGGAGCTGGCGACGGGGGCATTTACGTCTAGAACATCGTGGATGGCTTCTAGCTGAGCATTAGAGACGAGGGCCTGCAAATCCGCGCCGGAGAAGCCGTCTGTGCGGCGGGCAATCTCCGTCAGGCCGTCGTCCGAGTCGGTGAGTTCACTGGATAATCTAACTTTTTGGAAGAGAGCCTTGATGATGTCGAGGCGGTCTTCCAGAGAGGGGAGATCGCAAAGAAGGGACTTGTCGAGACGCCCGGGACGAAGGAGAGCAGGGTCAATGAGGTCGGGCCGTGAGGTGGCCGCGAGGACGTAAACGCCAGACAGGCCCTCTGCACCATCCATCTGCGTTAGCAGCTGATTTACCACACGATCCGTGACGCCAGTCGAGTCGTGTCCTCTCTTGGGGGCGATGGAGTCGAATTCGTCAAAGAAGAGCACGCATGGCTTGGCGGCTTGGGCGCGATCAAACAAGTCGCGGACGCTCTTCTCTGAAGCACCAATGTACTTGTTCAGGATCTCGGGGCCCTTGACGCTGATGAAGTTGAGGCCGCATTCACCGGCCACGGCACTTGCTAGCAGAGTCTTGCCGCAGCCAGGGTAGCCATATAACAAGAGACCGGACCGGAGACGAAGAGGGCACTGGGCAAAGATGGGGGCATATTTCGTGGGGTATTCCAGGGTTTCCAACAGGACACGGCGTGTCTCGTGCAGACCTCCGATGGACTTGAACGTTGTGGTGGAGCTTTGTAGCGGCACATTGCGAAGGGAAGCCGGGGTGAATCCCTTGAGCGCCTTATCAAAGTCGACGCGGCTCAAGCGAACGGCGCCGTCGGCGGCATCGGATGGTGACTCGGCAATGGAGCGGATAATGGCTTCACTTCGAGCCCGAGACACGAGGACACTCAAATCGCCAGGCATGTATCCGTCTGTTAAGCCAGCCATGTCAAGGAAGTCGAGATCCGAGTCGATGATGAAGCCGGTGGATTGGGACTTTGGCTTTTCTGCGTCTGACCCGTGCAACCATGCTTCGGTGTCGTCACCCATTGCGCCGCCATCGGATGTTGGTGGACGGCTGAGGTTACTATCCAGCTCATCCGGGTCCTTCTCCGGTATGGAGTCTTGTCGGGTAATGGATTCCATCACTCGCCTTCTTGCCTCCTTATCAGGCGCCTTGAGTTCGACGATTTCCCGAACCACGTGGCCGCTTACAACGACAGTATTGAGAGAGTCTTTGCCTTCAGCTGTGGCAAGCAGGACAATTCCACCATCTCTGGTGCAAAACTGTCTGACAATGGAGCGAATCGTTTCGCTGATCTGTCTGCTTCGCCCATTGTCGTTGCCAACTTGGAGTTCTGTTTCCACAGGACATAACTTGTCCAGGTCATCCAGGACTACGACTGCCTTGCCGCCCAGCCTTGCCCCCCAACTCGCCGACATGAAAATGCGGGTGAGGGTCTCCTTGATAGTTGAAATCCTCGTTTCATCATTAACCAGTTTCCGGCAAGAAAAATAGATGGTGTAAAATAACATCTCCCGGCGCAACTTCTCGGCCATGTACTTTGCGACCGACGTCTTGCCAGAACCCATGCCACCTGTCAATAAAACCGATGAGAGGTGGGCTAGTTGCTTTTGCAGACTCTCAAGTAGTGAGTCTATTCCAACCAGGAGGGAGTCGTTCTTGGGCAACAGGTCAAAGACGTCCGAGTGGGCAATCCAAGGCGGCCGGGCTTGCGGCTGTTGGAATTCAATCTGGGTCTTTTCATCTAAGCCGGCGGCCCAGAATATTGCGTCCTTGCTGTGTTCTTGGGAGGCATATTCGGCGCCGTACTCAAACTTGACAAAACCACCTTCCCAGCCCTGAGGTGCCTCCAGTTCGCTGTAGACTCCGACAACCATGCCGTCAGTGATTGGCCCCTGTAGCAAACCCTCGGTATTATTCGCACCAGAATACATGTGTCTGAATCGCTTAGCCGATTCTTCTTTCTCGGCCTTTGAGTCGCTACCGAACCTGAGACCTTCGTTCGGCTTTGACCCAGCCGCAAAGGGAAATACTCTGACGCTCTGCACGGCCCCTTTGGGAAGCGGTGGTGGTGCGGCCTGAAGCTTGACTACGCCGCCGACAATTCCTGGGCAACCAAGAACAGCGCACAGAGGCGACGAGAGAGCGGCCGTTTGGCCATCGGGCGGATCGTCCCAGGGCTTTAAGCGTGCCACAACCTTTGATGAGGCTATTGAGGCCGGAGGAGCGGTGCCATCCTCAGCTTGAGGTTTCTGCAGTCCTGCTGGCTTGATAACGTCGACAACGACGTATTTAACGCCCCTAAACGAACTGGAAAGCAGGCGATCACGGTCAACCCAAATGCTAATATCGGGATCCAGCAGCCCATCATCGAACCATTCCCGGCAAGCAGATCGTTCAACCGCTCGAAAGAACAGGGCAGGTTTGGATTCTTCTCTCATACTTCTTCTTCGCATCGTGCTTCCCCCGCTACGTCTAGACTTTGAGGTGCTGGCGACGCTGCGGTGATCGCCGCTGGACTGAGAGATCTTGGCTCTGACTTTTGGAGCGACGATGACCTCGGCGTTGGGGGACAACTTGACAAAAGCCACATCAGCTGGAGGCGCAGGATCTAAAGACACGACCTTGATGCTGGCAGTTGATGTGGGTGATAGATGCAAAGCTAGCGGGTGAGGTGGTACTGTTGCACTGCCATTATTGTATGCAGGGTTTGGAAGGGCCCGGATTTGCGATTGGAGGTTGAGTTCTAGAAACGTAGCATGCAGCTCGATAATCTCCCAATCCTCAGGAGTCAATGGCTCAATGTTGATTGTGTGCGCGACGGGTGGATCGACATGAACCGTGGCGGTGACCTTTTGACCGTCGTTGAGGTCCAAGGTGTTTGCCAGCGTCGCATCGATCTCAACGACCTGAATCTCTTGGTCTCGGGACCCTCGGCTCCCGCTGATTCCATCGCGGCTCACAAGCGGCGCTGTTCGTCTCTTGCTGGGCATGCCCGTCCATCCCACAAAGATGGACTGTGGAGATGATGGCTGGCCACCCGAGGAGGCAGGTTTGTAGGCAAGCTCGACAATGACATTCTGAACGGGCTGTGGGGAAGGGAAAGATGGTTAGCGGATGAGATTTTGCGCAATTGAACAGTAGGGACAACAGACTGTATTCAAGTTGAGGAGCAAGGACACCAGCGACGGTGGAAGGTTGACCAAGCAGTTCTTCAAGTGGACGAGCGAGAGCTCTGCCGTGGTAGATTGCGCACTCTTCCTGGGGGCCATTGTGGACGACTCAGGATCATGGCTTGATAATGAAGTCGACAGAAGAGTCGCAGCCCGTCAGAAGACGTATCCAGTCACGAGATAGAGGGCTGGTTTCGATTCGGTTCAGGCCAAGGGTGGGTGAGAAGATGCCATGAGCTCCAAGAGCAAAGCGAAGCTCGGTGCCATGACCCGCGCAAACCGGCATCCCCAGACCGAGGCAAATCCACGTGCCGACGGCGGTGGGGAGGAAGGAGAGAGCAGTTGGGCTTAGTTGGGCTCCTTCCCAGACCAGGCCGTCTTCCCGTCAACTGGTCTCCGCCCCTCCAACCCCAAACCCCAAACCCCAAGCATCAAACTCCACTCGCATCATGCACGTCTGGCATAATATCATTGATTGATGTCTGCGCCGCGTACGGCAGCAAGCAGATATTCGCCGAGTTCCCAACTCCGAACACGAAACCAATTTATAAGTACACCATGGTCTCTCATTTAAATATGCTAAACGCCAACTCCAATGCCCAGGGTAAGTGTAGATGTGTGTGGTCGTAGGCTCATGTTTGCTTCCCTAGCATCATTCCTCTTCTTCCAGCTTTGACTCCTCGCTGCCAGGGCACAGTGCTCGCGACATGTACTCCGTTGTTCTACTTCTTCTATAGGTGACCGGTTTCGGTCCGAATCCTCTGGGCTGCACAATACCCGAAAGCTCGAGTAGGACGCTGCTCTGCCAATTATCTGCTTTTTCCAATGATGAGACTCGAGAAAAGCCAGCTCGCCAAAAGAAATCTAGCACCTCTTGCACAGCCTCTGGATTATTCACACCGGCCTCAATATACTCATAAACGACTGCAGTGTATTGGACTCCATCCTCAACACGGCGCTCAACCCGGTCCACCTCATACGACGGCATTACTTGCAACCTCGTGGGTAGACAACACCACAAGTCTTCAAAGGTGAACCGCAACCAGACGTAATATTTCCTCAGTCGCGGAACTTGCGTTGTACACAGCAGACCACTCGATCCCAAATCTATGTCCTTGTCTTTTTGACGGGCTTCGTTGGGAAAAGCGAGTAAATTGGCTGCGACTTCTCGACGAGTTGTAGGATTCGGGTCAAGTAAAAATCGGACCATTCTGCGGTTCTGATATAGCTGCTTCCATCATTTGGAATGAGGCGGCATTCTGGCACTCTCGCTGGGGAGCAAATTAGTATGGAAGGCCACGGGGTTCATAATCTCAAAACTAGAGAAGAGTCAGCACAGTGTTTCTCACTTTCTATTAGAGGTGCTGGAGCCTGCTTAGCTTTTTCAACACAAAGGTCGTACCATCCTTTTTTGAGCGGGTTTTCCAATTATACCCATCAGCTCCGCCATCAAGCCTCGCATTGTACCTCGGCTCGGGATCCCGATTGATGCGTCCCGTAAATTCAATAGAATCTAGGTCCAAGGGGCACCGCCCAAGTCGTGGGGTTTTGAAATCGGTCCGCGAGCAATTAATGGGGCCATAGTCCATGAAGTCATGGTCGAGGAATGGCTTACTCAACATCCTGCGCGTTTGGCCATTGCAAGTACGGGTCTGTCGGATACTCTGAGCCATAAGGGGCATCATGTCGGCCTATCGTCTGTTTCTCGTCGATTTACGACTTCTGTTCTCAGCTTGTACTCGTGACAGACAGTCTTGATACTATTTGTCGTCTCGGCGTCGCGCCGTGAGCATCAGCTCGGAGGCGAAACGCGCCCGTCCCTTCGAGTGGTCGCCGCACCGGACAGATTAGAGCTTTAAAGCCTTGTGTGACTATAGTCGGATTCAAGGGTCGGTCCATGCCGACACGCGTGTGACAGCTCATGCCCACCAGAGCAGTTGATATTTTGAACACTCACCAGGTGAGTATAACTGCATTGGGCCTCCTACGAGAGTAAATAAACTTCCTCCAGTGATTTATAACACGGCTTCGGGGGGAGACATGATCCATTGCCATTCTTCAAGGTATACTCGGTTGACCCCGTGTTGGTGTGTCATGTCAACCACACTTCTCGGGGCCCGGCAGTTGTCGAGCTGGCACGCGTCGGGTTTTCCATTTCCTTACATTGCCTGACGCCCGACTTGGGCAGCTTCTATTGAACAGTACGGAACATCAATTGACATTACTTCTAAGCCAGTAACTTGACTGGTCACATGTGGCCTGTGGCTCTATCATGTCAATATCAGTGGTTGTTGTGCTGTAGTACGACTCTTCTCGGAAGTCCCGACGAGCCACATATAGTCTCTCCTGCTTTGACTTATTGCACCCATGCTTGCGGCTACGTTTGCAGAGCATCTCGCAGTCTTGACCAAGTCTCAGGAGGCATGGAGCGACGGTGCAAGATATCGCGCGCTCGCTCTTAATGGACCAAGCTAAAAGATACCGCTGCCCCCTAAAATACAACACGGAGTCAGTATCAAGTTACATAAGGCGCAAGGACTGACGCAAAAGCGAAAGCGGTCTTAAACTTTAAACGGAAGGATTCTAAGATAGCATTGTCGTATGTTGCTTTAATACCTCGAGTTGGGGAATCCTCTTGAACTATATTCAAGCTGCCGTTCGATCTTGGCTAATGTACAACTGGAGCGAGCACGAATATGCGAAATATGGCCAGGGATGAACCTGCACAAACTCTTGTGTTTGTAAACACAGATTGCGTATTGAATGATATTATACAAATTACAGTAGAATATGAAAATGCACAGCCCAAAAGCGAGGCGTCTGGGGGTAGTTGGCCCCTCGTTCTGTGCTGGTATTAGGTGTGTGTGTATTTTGTGTTTTCCTGTTCTCTCTTGTCATCCGTTGTCATGTACATCCAGAGTGATAACCTCTGCCATCTCCAACCTAGCACTTATTACTCCATATGATAGTATGCATACACTAACTGAAATTGTCCCTTGGCAGCCCAGCCATCACACTGCTATGGCCCAATTGAAGCACATATTATAGCGCATCTTGTCATACAACACATTTCACAATCCAAGGAGACTGAAACAAGTGACTTAACACTAAGGAAGCCCTTCTTCCACATAAAGACTTCAAATCTCAACTTGTACCCGGGAAATCAAGCTTTAATCAATACGGCCCTATTGTCCAATTGCCTCTTCGATTACCTATATCGTATTGCTGCGACAGCTATATGAGTAACTGTTTCAAGGTACACTTCACAATTCCTAGATATTTCATGAGTCAAGGGATGATCAATCCTCTATTGAGATATACGAGTTTATCATGATAGACTCACTCAATGGAGCTTCCCAAAGGGCCAACCGACTGACGCTCCAGTGCAAACATTCAGGCAAACACCCCCTGTCAATGTCTCAACGAATTATCAAACACGCCAGTTCTGACGCTTCCGCTTCGTCTGCTCGTATGCTAGGAGCCAGTGCTCTATCAGTCAGGCCCGCCACAATGACTGTCCCATCCCCAGGCCAGGACGGCGTTCCCACGCAATCTTTACTTGGACTACCTTTCTTTTCTTCCTCGGCCTCATTGCGCCACTAGCCTCTGCTTCCCAGGTAGGGAAGTCGGCTGTCTTACGTAGTGGCTTTGATTGTTTTCCTAGCTTCTTGGCTGCCGTCATGCCTGTCGACAAAACGTGGGCTGGTGCAAATTGGTTTGTTTCTCCCACCGATTTCATGACCTCATTCAACGGTGAGCAGCAGTATTCCGAGTTTATCTTGTCAAAACGTCAAGGATAGCTAGATGGTTGACCTGTACATGTACGAAAACCATTCAGTGTATAACCACCTAACGTGGGATAGAGCTTACGGTCAATCCGCTACGACTCACCACTACGATGCTCAGTTCGTGCAGACCTCGATGGGGTCGGAAATCTTACTCGATCAGCACAGGCTGCGTGCCCCCGATTTCCTCCTAAGCCCGCTGTTTAGGCACACGGAGTTTTTCAATTCCAAAGTGGTATTCCATCCGCCGTCGCTAGCCTACACTGGATCTGGGGCTTCTGTCGACGTATCCGACCTTTAGCAAAGCGCAGAATCATCTGGTTGGGTACGACAGAGGCGCGTGGTCGAATTATCTTCATGGTAAACAACAACTGCGAAGCACGGCAGCATATGGGCAGCTGGTAACGGGCACAGAAGAGGGTTAGAGGAGTCACTATGCCATACTTGCGGAAGCGCAGCTGTCAACAAGGCAACCGACCTTGCTATGCAGTAGTATTACAATACGCATTGAGTTTCTCTAGATTTCACGGGTTTTATATAGCAACTATGGATCGAATAAATATGGACTCGTCCTTGATGATACCTTTGTCCCAATGTAGAGAACTGAGGCCTCTGTCCAAGTTGAACAACGAAGATGACATCTTTCAATGAAGCGAAAAGGGCATATTTCCTATTTGACAGAGGGCTTGCCAGCTAGTTCCAACTTGAAACCTTGTATTAGACTCACAAGTCGCTAATGCACGGTCATGTTCGCGAGTCTCTCAAGCTGCTTCGTCCCAGTCCACATGGTTACGAGGACAAAATGATTGCGTTACAAGAATACTTGGCTGTGCTGACTTGGCCATTCTCTCTTACAAATCTGTGACTAGAAATACACTCTCCTTTAAAATAGCAAGCAAGGCTACTATTCCACTGGTCGCCGAGTTCCCTTCCTGGCTGTCGCCGTCTCGGCTCGTCTCCGGGTCCCGGGTCCCACCCCCCGGGCCCCGGGGGGTCACGCCCAAACGAGACGGCACTTGTGGCTGTGCGGCAAGCGACAAGCGGAAAGCTTAATTGTCTGTGGCGGTGCAAAACGCGACTTACAGAGGAGCTGACGCGAAAAGTCGCGTGTGCTCGGTGATCGGTCGCGATTTAGCTACTCCGTACGCATTCTTGCATTTCGCATTTCGCATCTCGCATCCCTGCATCTGCCATTCTGCGTCGCAGCTCTTCCCCAACTTTGCGATCTGCTGCGATTGCACTCCCATTTCTCACCTGTCATAGGCAAAATCAGCATCTCCAAGATGGCACTCCGAGAGTACAAGGCTCCCGTCGACTATGACGAGCAGCAAAGTTGGTTATTTCTGGGTAATTGCAGAGACTGAGCCAGGCACTAATGGCATACAGGTGCCTTTGAGGAGTTCCTCAAAGACTTCAAGACGTCGCCCGAGCATACCATTACCACCGCTATGGGCGACATTACCATCGACGAAGATGATTTGAGTGACGAGTATGACTTCATGGATGAAGACGAAGAGTCGGGCGACCGCCGCCGCAAGGAGAAGGGGAATCAAAGAACTCCTCAGCACAAGTACAAGGAACTGTTGCAGCAGCTAGCTGATAGAACCATTGACGAAATCACCATTGACCTCGATGATGTTTATGATGTGAGTACTCTATTCTACCAACTAACCTAATTGCTACAAGCATGAAACTGATAATTGTCCAGTGGGAAAGTCAAGGCCAAGAAGAACTCCACCTGGTTGACTCAATAGAGCTGAATACAAAGCAATACGTCGATATTTTGTCCAAAGCCGTGGACAATGTCATGCCACAACCCAGCACAGATGTCAGGTAAGGAGGGAGAATAAAGAGAATAAACATGAACAACACTCCCATTGCCGCTAACACAAGGCCAGCTTCAAGGATGATGTTCTCGATGTTTTGATGGCTCGTCGCCAAGCCCGTAACCGCGAACTTCAGGAAGCCGCAGAGCGTGACCCTACTGCCGAGGACGATCAGTTTCCTGCCGAGCTTACTCGGCGGTACACTTTGGTCTTCAAACCCAGATCGCGGACCGCTGAAGAACCTACCAAGGCTTTGGCTGTTCGCCAAGTCAGAGGTGATCACATGGGCCACCTGATCACGGTCCGGGCTATTGCCACGCGCGTGTCTGATGTGAAGCCGATCGTTCAAGTCAGCGCTTATACCTGCGACAGCTGCGGATGCGAGATCTTCCAGCCCATTACCGATAAACAGTATGGGCCGCTGACAATGTGCCCGTCCCGAGACTGCGAGGCAAACCAGTCCAAGGGTCAGCTCAATCCCTCCACTAGAGCATCCAAATTCCTGCCCTTCCAAGAAGTCAAGGTCCAGGAAATGGCCGAGCAGGTTCCTATTGGTCAGATTCCTCGTTCCCTGACCGTCCTGTGCTACGGCAGCCTTGTACGAAAGATTAACCCTGGTGATGTCGTTGACATCTCCGGCATCTTCTTGCCTACTCCCTACACAGGCTTCAAGGCTATGAAGGCTGGTCTCCTGACCGACACTTACCTCGAGGCTCACCACATCCACCAGCACAAGAGGGCCTACAGTGAGATGATTGTCGACCCACGACTCGTGCGACGCATCGACAAGTATCGACAGACTGGCCAAGTGTACGAGCTACTTGCCAAATCTATTGCCCCTGAAATCTACGGACACCTGGATGTTAAGAAGGCTCTGCTGCTCTTGCTTATTGGCGGTGTTTCCAAAGAGATGGGCGATGGTATGAAGATTCGAGGCGACATCAATATTTGCTTGATGGGTGACCCTGGTGTTGCCAAGTCTCAGCTTCTCAAGTACATTTCCAAGGTTGCCCCGCGTGGTGTATATACCTCCGGCCGTGGAAGCAGTGGTGTCGGTCTGACGGCTGCTGTCATGCGAGACCCAGTGACCGATGAGATGGTTCTTGAGGGTGGTGCTCTTGTTCTCGCAGACAATGGCATCTGCTGCATCGATGAGTTCGACAAGATGGATGATAACGACAGAACAGCCATTCATGAAGTCATGGAACAGCAGACCATTTCCATTTCCAAAGCCGGCATCTCGACAACTCTCAATGCTCGCACGTCCATTCTGGCAGCCGCTAACCCCATCTATGGGCGATACAACCCCCGAATCTCTCCCGTTGAGAACATTAACCTTCCTGCTGCGCTGTTGTCTCGTTTTGATGTACTTTTCCTTCTTCTCGATACCCCATCTCGCGAATCAGACGAGCAGCTGGCAAAACACGTCGCCTTTGTTCACATGAACAACCGCCACCCCGACATTGGCACCGACAATGTTGTCTTCACACCTCACGAAGTGCGCTCATACGTAGCCCAAGCACGAACGTACCGTCCTGTTGTCCCCGAGTCCGTCTCAGATTACATGATCAAGACTTATGTCCGCCTCCGAGATCAGCAGCAGCGAGCTGAGAAGAAGGGCAAGCAATTCACCCACACTACCCCGAGAACATTGCTTGGTGTTGTTCGTCTCGCTCAGGCCCTTGCTCGTCTCCGTTTCAGCGACCAGGTTTCCCAAGATGACGTTGATGAAGCATTGCGCCTGGTCGAAGCCAGCAAGGAGAGCCTCAACGCTGAAGTGAACACCGGTCGCCGCGGCCTCAACGCCAGCAGCAGAATTTACAATCTCGTCAAGGCGCTCGCTGATTCTGGCGCCTGTCGTGCTGACGACGCCGAAGATGACGACCTCGGTGTTGAGTTGAGCATGCGCAAGGTGAAGGAGCGCGTGATTGCGAAGGGCTTTACAGAGGATCAGTGGCTCAATGCCCTAGACGAATACACAACGCTCGATGTGAGTATAGCAAAATTATCGAGAGGACAAAGGTCGAGGCTAACGTGGAAATCCAGGTATGGCAAACTACCGGTAGTGGTGCTAGATTGGTATTCGTCACTGCTGGTAATGATGACGAGGACGGCATGGATGATTAAGGGGTGGGAATCATGAGAAATTTCTGGTTTTTGATTGGGTATGGCGTTTTAGGTTATATTGGTGTCGGGAGAGGGATCCGGAGAGGCCATGTCGTTATGAGAAGAATCCATGATTCAAGCTCCATCGCGTTGCACACGTTGTATGATGTTTGGCCATTCCTTAGAGGTCCTGAAATGTTCACGATTTGTGAGTAATCTTGTTTAGCCTAACAATATTTACTAATCTTGGCAGGCCATCAGTATACGTGTCAAGTGAACATGGAAATTTGAGCGTACGATTTTCTCTCTACGCTTTCATTATACGGGAACGGGTCCAAATATCTAGCTCTATATGGAAATTTGAGCGTACGATTTTCTCTCTACGCTTTCATTATACGGGAACGGGTCCAAATATCTAGCTCTATAGAGATAATGAACGTATGCCAAGTACAATTATAAATCTAATGGAAGGGACTGTTGCCACATGATTTGCCGGGACAATTGGAAGCAGAACCATGTACGTCGGGTCGCTCAGGGGGTACTGAAAAAGCCCAACACTGCCTGGCGATATTTACGCCATGGCTCACTACCAAATCCCCTGCAGCATGCGTTTCATAGCAATTTAATTCATCTCACCTGTTCTAACTCGGCGTTTGAACCCATAGTTCGATGCTGTTCAGTTCCCGGGCAATGCCAAAATTGCTACTCGCACATCTTGCTCGTACATCTTGATACACTGCCGCAGGTCTCAGTTGGCCTCTCAACGGGAACACGTTGCTCAGTCAAGCACAATCTACCAACTTCCACACTTTCTTGCCTCACGAGCGCGGTAGACCGAGTGCCGTAGTCGCCCTTCCTTAGACAACGTGATTACATATAGATGGTCTCTCGAAATCACCGTAGCACCACAACCAACTTGGCCAAAAGTGAGCAGTGACCACTCGTGGCGCTTGCAGAGACCTCAAGTCTCTGCCAACTGATTCTCCCCGGCAACCATCAACAGCTAGCTCCTCTTGCGCAAAACAGGCCGCCCAGTCTTTCATCCGAGACCAAACGCTGCTTCACCCATAAAAGTATACTTCTCATACAGTGTATCGGCGTTGTATATAGTACAAGTTACAAATATATAGTTTACATCCTCATCGTCATCAGCGACACCCTCTCCATCTCACCGACAATACCGTGCCCGCCAAGAGCCCATTTCTCCGTCACGGTACTTGTGTTCAATACACTACGCAGCATACCGCTTGCGCCCCAGTACTCCATCAGTGCTCTCCCCTCATCCTTGGACACGCCTCCGACTCTGAGGACGTAACTGTTCTTGAGCGATTCGTACACGCGTTCGTCGTACTTTCTCTCGTAGGGATCAGGCTTGGGGATCTCACGACCGGCCTGACCGGCTTCCAGTTGCGACAGGACGAGCTCTTGTGAAGGATGGTAGTGTGTGTTGTTGTCGGATGTGGCGGCGATGATGGCACCGCCGTTGGGGAGCTTCGTCTTTCCCGATAGGGCGTCGACGAAGAGACGTACCAGCGACAACTCGTGGGCATGCACCTGGTTGAATGACGGGTCACGATAGTCGCTCATCTTGTTGATGTGCGCAAGGCCGTCGAGGGCGAAGAGCACTGGCGGCCGGCCCGGTAAAGTGAGTTCCGTCCAAAGGGCTTCGAGGGTCGGCCAGGCGTTTTCGCTTTCCTTGGCACTGAGAACCAGGTCGGCTACAGTGGCACCCTGCTTGAGGTGGGTGAGGCGTGACCAGTCCTTTTGGAGGCCAATTTTCTCTAGGACAGCCTTGTTGGCTTTGTAAATGTTTTGGAGGAGCTTGAGGGTGTAGACGGGCTGGGCGAACTGCATGGGCTCGGTGCCTTCAATGGGGGAGTATTCGGTGTTGCCGTTGGTAAGGTCCTGGCCTATTTTCACAATCACCTCATTAGCAAGCTGGGATAACCCCGAGTCGCATGAGACGCTGCCCTACCTTCGGGAATGTGCACAACAACCCAGTCATTCATCAAAGCATACGACATGGACTGCAGCAGTGCCAGGCTCTTTCCGGACAGCTTGCTCCCCGTGAGCACACATTTCAACGCATCCTTCTTTTCCACGGATTCCTCCATCTTGCTCATCAATTGGACAGTTTCCTCCCTCACCAGGAAATGCGGCCGCCTAAACAAGCTCCACGTCTGCGTTGTTTTGAATGCCTCCAGAGCCCTCAACTGATCAACCACTTTATCTGGCAGGGCAAACATCTTGCCCTTGCTCTCTGACTTGGCCATAGTCTCCGGTGACAACTCATCAATGTTCCGGACTGGCAAAGCACTGTTGTTGCTTAGTTGGATGCGCTTGCGGAAGGCCTTTCGCTCTCCGGGATTGGGTTTCTTGACGGCCACCACGTTGGTCTTTTTTTTGAACGTTCGCTTGGCCTTTTTCGGGAGATCTCTTCGAGATTTTATTGTGGGAGGAGGCGCAGCGGCCATGGCGGTCGTGGTTGAGAAGAATGCTACTCGAGAGAGGATAACGGGATGGATGCGAGGCGCGAGGGGGATTGAGGGCCTGACGAGGCTGCGGAGGGAAGAGGTTGCCGACGATGCCATGGTGGTCAGATGAGACATCATCTCAGCTAGAGAACTGTTGCAGGACGTGGAATTATTGTCACATGGAGGCCAATTGGGCCTGGCGATGTCGTGGAGATACGCTCTCCTCGGGAGACGGGAGAGCTGCGAAGGTTTGTCTGCAAAAATCCCCCGAAAGTTGTACAGCCGCCGATTGGTCCACCTGTGCATCTCGCAGGGGTTGTCACTACGAAATAAAAGCCCGGAAAATTCCACGCCGTTGATCCGGCGCCAGCATCGTACTATCGCTCTTATCGGCCTCCAAAAATTTAGAGGGTCTAATTCTCAAGTCCCAAAAAAGTTGGCGATCCAACAACCAGAATTCATACATCAAGCAGTTTGCTGAGAACCCCAGCAACAACCACCACAAAAGCAGCGCCTCTTTGTTTAGAATCTCATCACTACAAATACCAATCAGCTACTCTTCATCAACAGTCGCAATGGCCCTCCCTGGCACGAGGCCCAAACTCCCCGTATCCGTGGATAAACCCACCCCATATACTTTCGACCTCGGTCTCCTGCTTGCCGAAGACCCCAATGCCATCACCCTCGACCACTCCTCGCTCGAACAGTCCCTCGCAGAAGTCGCCCGAGATGGCGCCCAGTCTCTCATCAACCAACTCCTCACCACCTGTCCCATCAGCTCAACCAGCGATGGTGTGCTTCTCTCGTTGCCCGCCCCGTCAACCGCCTTGCCGCGTGAGAAGCCTCTGCCGGAAGCCAAAGCCAAGACGAAATGGGAGCGCTTCGCCGAAAAGAAGGGCATCAAGGCCAAGACTAGAGAGCAGCGAAGAAACCTGGCGTACGACGAGGAGAGTGGCGAATGGAAGCGCAAGTGGGGATACAAGGGTCTCAATAAAAAGGGTGAGGATTATCCCATCATGGAGGTAGATATGAAGAAGGAGAGGGAGAGGAAAGAGGGAACTAGCATTAGAGGTGACGGCCGAAGGGAGAGAAAGGAGAGAATAAAGCGCAACGAGAGAAAGATGAGGAAGAATCAGAGGGATGCCTTGAGCGCTAGGTAGGGTTGATGGAGACGGGGTGAGAAATGTGGACTTTGCAACAATATTATCGTTCAGGAACATGTGAAATCGGAACCCGACGGGCTATTCGAACACTCATCGGTGTGTTACCATGGCGTCTGGTCACAAAATCGGAGTCCGGAGTTGAATCATATTTAGATGGTCCTACCCACGCATTCACAAAAGCTTTTGGGCAATGCTCTACAAATGCTAGGCAAAGCAATGTCATACTTTCGCCAAAAAATCTGCTTCTGTGTGATTTTAATTCCCATTACCAGAACCTCGACCATCTATACCCGCCTCTCCTCTCTCTCTTATTGTCCTTTTGTCTTCTCCGATATTGCCCCTTCCGCCATGAATATACTCCAAACAACACCTCCTTGCCTATTGTACACAGAACCCGAATGTTCTCTTTTTGTACTCTCCGCCATTATTGCCCGAGAAAATCATTTGCTTTGGGCTGATAGATGCGCGAAAGCCCTGGCTACGTGATTCTCAGGCATTGAACCTTCAATTTCTGCCACACCCGCCACTGTCCGTCAGGCTCTGAACCGCCACAAAAATGCATCTCGTCTCCATTTTTGGGTGTCGATTAAAAGTAGTAATTTTAACAAGTACGTTTAAACACGATGACCTAATCCAGTATCAAAAAGCATAAAACAAAATTTTGCAAATTGCGTGGTATATGAAGACTGAAGCCGGCGACCACATCCACTCCGCCTTATAATGTGATGATGCGATGAAGGGTATACCAAACAGCCAACTAGTTTGATAGGCCGTGTCGAAATGGGGGAATCGATGCGCTTTAAAACAACTTGATTCGCCGCCAGTGATGACAGGAAAAAAAGGAAAATGTGTACGAAACCAAACAAGTGCCGGGGGGGGATTCAACGATGAGACCCGTCGTAAAGGCGTTAAATGACGAAGAGATGAAGAAAACAATACACGAATTGGAGCATGCACTGCACAGATATCGTTGTATCGGAAAAAAAAATTCGCGATGGCCGGCTCGTACGCCACGAAGTCGGCCCTAGCAGTCATTCCATCCCTAAAAGCCGATAGGAGACAGTGGTTTGATGGGTGATAACGGGCGAAGCTGCCTTGTCGTTTCTTGCGGTTCACGCTCACTATTAGTGGTAACATTGGTTGAGATTGTTGAGGTTCTGGATCCAATACTCGCATTGGAGCCAGAGAATTGACGTTGAAGAGCCCTATTGCTGTTGTCAAAGTCGGAAGGTTTGTTACTATCAGTTGACGACAGCTGACGATCGTTGGGTTCGTCTGTATGTGAAGGGCCATTGGGTATGGTTATGCCTCTAGGCGGAGGTTGGTCGAAAAGTCTGTATTCTTCTTCGATGTACTTTGCTTCATTCTTGCAACCTATCCAGCATTTTCTCCAATCACAGACCAGAAACTTGAAGCAAAAGGCATCAATCTTCATGCATGGTTGGAAACAGATGCACAGATTCCTGAAGTCCATCTTGTTCTTATCGGAACGAGATAAGAGAAGACTCAGGTGACAGGTGATGGCAAAGAGGAGGTAATAGTTAAAGGGTGACAAGTTGGACAATTCTTCAATGAGTAACTGTGGCACTTGGGTTGCCCCCGCGCACTCGCGAGCGATCCGGTCCTGCGCCGCTTTGGGGAACAATTCGTCTGGAAGTTCACGTAGCCATGCTTTGAGCATAGAGCCAATGATGTTGATATCGTAGAGCTCATCGTCCTTGAACAAATTAACGTCATGTCCTACAGGAAAGGTTAACTAACGTCAAGACGGTTACCGACGGCGAGACATAGGATGGCTTACGTTCGTCAAACTTTCTCTGCCACTTCTTGATTTGCGCGCCACTTCCAGGAACTCGATATAAACCTTCGACATCGCTACCCTTGTGATTTAAATAATCAATGGCTCGCCAAGGGAAAGCCGGCATCCAAAACTCCGTCTTATCTTTCGAAGTCTCTAGCCGCTTAGCAATGCGCGTTATCCGAGTCTGTTCCACTAGGGGGAGGTTGAGAACTTTGAGGACATAGTGTTCATCGTCTACAGCGTGTTCCCGTTCCGTCGTGCTTCCACTTCTTGAGCTCTTGCCAAAGAGCCCTTTACTAATTATGTCAGCAGCCCTCGTGGAAGAACTCCGCAGCCCACTAAAGAATCCGGAACCATTCTCTTTGAGGGATGATGGAAGAGCACCTTTCTCCTTGTCTCGCGACGAGTCATGGCGAGCGGCCCTGTCCTCTGATCGGTTTCGTGCACTCGAATTCATCATATCTCTGAATGCTCGGTCTTGTGCCATGGGGGCGGTCCGGAGAGGCATAGCGTTGTCGCAATGCTCGTTTCGACCTGTAGCAGCAGGAACAAGGACTGGGGCGGTCTTTGGATTGTTCCGATCTTTGTCCTTGTGGGATTTGGTTCTGCTCAACAACCCAAATGACTTCGTCTTACTCCTCTTGCCGCCTGGCGAATGGGCAGATGTGCCGTCGCAGTCTCCAGCGGACGACAGTGATAGCTCAGATCGGGATGGTAGCGGAGGCTTCTGCAGGTATTCTTGTGTATATGGAAAATCTATCGGAGTCATATCATGTTAGCAAGTCTCTATGTCCGAGTGTCGAGTCATTGGGGGTTAATAGGACAGCAAGCATGCTGGGACAATCCAAATGTTGACGATGCGAGGACTTCCTCATCCATTCGGCCATTGTTCTCGTGTTTCTTCTGAGCACTTTCAAGGGCATTAGGCCCTAGAGCTGGATGAATATCATACTTTCAGACTTTGGCGCACGTGGCTCTTCGGGTCCTCTGGCAGCCAAGTATTCCTGCGAATCAGAGAACTGCGAGTTTTGCGGGAGTTGGTTCGAACTCTTGGAGGACTTATTGAAGTGGAAAAAGCCACTCTTGGTCGACGGCCGCTTCTCTGCGTCGGAGGAGACCTGACGGAAGGCTGGGGAAGCCGATCCCGAGATCTGGTCGTGGTATGGAGGTGACTGTTCGTGCTGAAGCTGAAGTTGGGGTGGACGACGAGGCTGGTTCGTCTCGTGGCCCGAAGTCTGCATATGCCCCCTCCCAGTCTGCGAAGCCTGAGAAGTCTGCGGTCGTTTGGCGGCAGCAAAGCGACTGGTCAAGGATACAGAAGGTTGGGAACGAGAGTGAGATTGTGACTGAGAAAGCTCCGACTGGAGGGAGTGCTGTGACGGCTGTGACTGCAGTGACGGTGGCAGCGAAGGCTGCGGCGAGGCGGGTGGCCTTGGGTGGACGGGCGATACGTTGGCGGTTTGCACGGCCGTTTCAGCAGTCGACTCGATGCATGCGGCAGTGCCAGTCCTCGTCGCTTGCGCCGTTGCCCCCAAACCGAAGCCGGTGGCTGCTGCTGCGGTTGCGCCAGTTGCCCCAAGACGGTGGCCGCGATTGTGTGTGCTTCGGATAGAGTTTGCGCTCGTGCTGGCCTTTGTGCTGCCCAGAGGCAGTGGCTGCGGCGTGGGCCGGCGTCCCATGTTGATGTCGACTATCGGGGCTCTTGACTCTCTGCTGCCTCAATCCTCGACGTCGCTCAGAAATTGGCGGGCGGCGCAGCAGTGAGCGGCCTGAATCAGTTGCAAAGTTCCGGTCTGGGGACTAGACTCGAGACAGCGCCAGGGGCTGGGTGAAGTTGGTCAGGTCAACAGTCTGGTGCCTGTGTGTACCTGACTGAGCGGGTGGCCTATAGGCTGTTGTCTGTAGGCTGTAGTAGCCTGTAGCCAGTGGCCCAGTGCCCGTGTAGCCCGTGGTCTCAAGTCCCTGGGATTTACCCTGCAGCTGCAGCCGGTGGCCGGTGGCCGCTGCAGACGACGGAGTGGCAGTGTTGCTGCTTTATTTCCCAATTCGCTTTGGTTGTGTCGAGTCAACTTGGTAGTTGCCGTCCTTTTGCCTCCGTACACTAGGGAGGGGCACTGCGTACGGAGTACTCCAGATGTCGGCTGGGCGCTAGTTGATGTGGCCCGAGGGATGGGGATTACGATGGATCAGAATGGATCAGAATCAATCAATGCCCGTAAATTGTCCGTCAATGCCAGGGCCAAAGGGGGTGGGGGTCCAAATTCAAGCCTCCATACAAATGTTGTCAATGTGCCTCCCTGTGCCGCTCGTGCCTGAATCGATTTGCTCCGTACTGTTCTAAAGTTGGTCTCGTCTCGTGGGGTGCAGCCACGGGCCCGGCCACAGAGTTGGTAAAGGAGTCGGAAGGGGCCCTGCTCCGGCGTGGTTCGCAGTGTCCGCAGACGACAAAGAACCAAGAGGCTGTGTTGTGTGCTGTTCAATGTTGTGCGACGGGATGAATTGTGTGCGTGTGAAAAGAAAGGCCTGGTTCTCCGTACTCCGTACTCCGTACTAAGAGTACAAAGAGTACTTCACGGACTGGTAGTTGCAGAGGGATGCGATGCACCGCTGGTTCGCCGCTTATCTGTTTATCTGTTGGTTTTGTCTCGCCTGGTCCTGCCCTGTCTTGCTTTAGGCAATTGTCAAAATGTGCCTTCCCTTTATCAGTGCCTAGACAAGCCTGGCCCAGCATTCAATGAATCATACGCAGTACCAGTGCTCCGTACTCTTCTCGCGGCAGAATGACCCTAGATAAGCCAGCGAGCAGTCAGCCAGCCGTCAACCAGCAAGGGGGCTGTCAGGGTCACGGCCAAGACAAGACAAAAAAGGACGAGAGCAGCCCGATGAGGACTTGAGAAGCCTGAGTGGGGTTCCGGACTTGGATCGAGACTGACTGGTGACTTTGTCCGTCTCGTATGGCTGTCAAAGTCGTCAGAATACTCGACAAAAGCTCACCAACAAAGGGTTTTTCCGGGGCGAGATGGTGGGCGAAGTTCAGCTTGTTCCTCGGGCAGGAGGAGTGTACGGTTCACATTTACGATGAAAGCACCCGGTTGAGAGGAGAGGGATTCGAATGCAAACAAGAGGTCCGCCCGCAAACAATCCAATCTAACATGGGCTGTGTGCCAGTTGTCCGTCCGCTTGAGCCTTTTGTCTTGGGCCTTTGGGTCTTTGGGCCTCTGGAGCAGCATCTCTCCCCTCACCCCATCCATTCTTGAACGATCCGCCATCCGCCATCCACCATACGCCGTACACCAGGTGGCACATGTTGACATAAAATGCCAGCAACGGCTAGACGATGGCTCGTTGAACCAAGTCCATTATCCCGATGCTAGGCACAGATGGCTCCAGGTGACCAAAAACTGGTGCTTGGCTCCACTGCTCGCCCCCGAAACGATGGCCGTCTAGCCATCTGAAACAACGTGTTGTACCAGTCCCATCCGCTTGTGCAGACATGGACTAGTCCGGGGGTGCCAGGGTGCATGGCCACATGCAACGTGGGTTTGGCCCTCCTAAGGTTTAGCAGACAAGTTGCGTTTACTGATCTCATGTTAGTCATAGTCTGGCGGAATATATTTGCCCGACAAGATGTATGTACCCGTTGGCAACTAAGTGGGCTAGCCACTTAGTTGGCCACAAAATTCCGGGACAGCCACAAAACACCGGGACAGTCCCCACCCAGACCTTTACATGTAAATTGCCTGTACGGGCATGAAAGCATGATTTTTTTCATGTCACGTGGCTTTATAAAGGCAAATATATTTAATTCCAGCTATTAGGAGGCCTTTAAGTGTGTACACATTCAATGAAAATGCAAAAAACAGCGGATTTAAGCTCTTTTAGGCTATAAAGAGGTCGGTTAGGTTAGGCTTAGCTGTAGAAGCTGCCTACGGGCGCCCGCGATATTTGACAAGCTTTCATAGAAATAACTAAAGATTCTGTCTATTTGTGGCTGCTTTATTGGCTTAATACTCTTTAATATGCTATTAAATTTAATTGTAAGGCCTTACACGGGCTTCTTTAATTAATGCGTGCTATTAAGGGTATAGCGAGCCTAATAGTAATAATTATAGTAGCTAATTAAGCTTAATAAGGGTATTTTTAATGTATTAAGTAGCTTCTTAAGCGATTTAAGTGTTAAATTTATCGTGAATATCGTTATTATTATTATTATTAAAGGCTTTAAGGTTAAATTAAACGGTATTATTACTATTAAGATATTCTAAAAAGATTCGGTCTATTATTAATAGAATTAAGCGATCTTATTATTATTAAGCTTTTTAAATAGCTTCTTAAACCTTAAGAAGGTGTTATATATTAATTATAAAGCTATCTTTCTTATAATTTAATAATTTAAGAAAGGTTTTATTTTAAGCCTTTAAAGATAAGTATTTAAGCTAATAATTAATATATTAAAGCTATTACTTAAAGGTTAAGGTTTTCTTACGCTTATTAATAGTGTGTTTTTTATTAAGCTATTATTTATTTTTAACCTTTTTTATCTCTTACCTTAATATTAACTAGGTAAGCTATAATTAACGCTAGCTTTTCTTCTTTATTTTTATTATAATAGTTTTAGCTTATTATTTTTAAATATCTTTAAGGTTAACGCTTATAATAAATTAACCTAAAGGTTTAACCTATTTTTCATAATAGTAATAATTTATAAGGCGTTTAATACGTTTATTTTTATTTTAAAAAGAGCTTTTTACTTATAATTCTAGTATATAAGCTTTAATTATAATCTAGCTAGCTTATTAAAGTCTCTTATAGGTTAAGGATAATAAAATATTAATATAATAGTTCTAAATTAATTATATAATATAAATAGCTATCTAGAATTATTATTTATTTAATAGTAGGCTTAATAGGGTAGAATTTATTAAGTCTTAAAGTTTCTATTACTTTTAAAGGATTTTAATAATAATAGGCTTAAGGTTTAAGGGAAAAATACTACTTTTCGTAAAGCCTAATATAATATTATACTTTAAGAAGCCTTTTATAAATATCTTATTAAAAGCTATAATAAATGCCTAATAAGAAAAGGCTAAATTTCCTTATAATAATAATAATTAAATTACTTTTTAATAGGTATCTTTTATAGGCTAAAAACGCTTATATTTAACGGTTAAATAATATGTGTTAAATATAACGGGAATATAATAAGAATAATATTAAATAAGATATAATATTTAATAAAATTAAGCTAAATATACCTTATAAAGCTATTAATAACTAATAGTTAATATATCCTTTATTTATAAGCTTAAAAAGGCTTTTCGTAATAAATTTAAGGCCTTATAAGGTTACGAAGCTACTTATTATAACTAAACTATTATAATAAAGTTATTTCGCTTTATTAGGCCTTTATTAAATGCTTTTATAAGCTCCTATTAAATTCGTGTATTTAATCGTATATAATATTACTATTACTAAAGCCTAATTTAAATTCTATAAAGCGAATATTACTATCCCCTTTAATTTTAGCCTAAAACTTAGTTAAAAAGGTCTTAAATACTAGCTAAAAAGGAATTTAATTACTAATAATATTAATAAAACCTATAAGGGTAATTAACTCTTTATTTATTAGATCTAGAACTTTCTTATAATATCTTTTAATTATAATAATTATAATAATATAAACCTACTTATAAAGGTAACTAATTTAAAGGATACTTTTATTCTTATTTTAAATCTTTAATAAACTAATATTATATTTATTTATTATATTATAAAGGTAATAAAAAAAGCTATTAATAATTTTAATATTAGCTATTTTAAATAACCTTTTAGCCTTATTAATAGCTTTAATTAAAATCTTTAAAAGCTTTAAATAAATTATAATTTATTTAAAATATTATATCTTAAATAATAAAAGGCTTAAAGAGTCTTATTATCTTTATAAAGCATTTATAATATCTTTAATTTATTATTTTATAGCTAAAAAACTATTTCTTTATATTTAAATAATATACGTAATAAAAGCTTTATCTTTATTATTATTAATAGCTTATAAACGGCTAAAAACCGCTTAAAAAGATATAAAAAGGGTATTAATAGCTTATTAAATAAATAATTTATTAACTTTAAAGCGTTTAATAGCTTCTTATACGAATATTTAAGGTTATTATTATAGTGTTATTATTATATGATAAGGCTACTTAAGCGCTCTTAATTACATTATTAAATTAGTAGCCTTTATTATTAAAGGCGAAAAGCCGCTCCTAGATAGGTTAAGCATAATGAAAAAGGGTGATTTTAAACGGTTATACACTAGTTAATAATCGTGTTTAGTAGGTGAATTAGTGGTGAAAAGAATAAAAGTGGGTGACAGCTGTCCCGGTGTTTTGTGGCTGCCCCGTATTTTTGTGGCTGATTAGGTGGATCGTCCGCTTAGTCGCTAACGGGTACTAAGATGCTATGTATAGTATGTTGTAGTATAAAGCACGGTAGCCAGGCGCCTGATCTGGTTAAATACGTTTTGCCCTCTATTCTATTCTGCTTGAGCAGTTAAATACACAAAACTATAAGAAGGCGCTGTTTCTAGTAATAATGACAGACTAGACGCTATGCGGAGTACCAGAGCCCTACGGATTACTCAGAGGAAGTAGTCAGATAAGATAATTGAGGACGCATCCCCCCTCTTTCCGGTTTTATTTTTATTTGTTTTTTCTACTTTTTGTGGAAGAAGTAAACGCGGTATAACCCTTATTTTCCCAAGTCCTTCGATGAACATGCCTGGCAAAGCAAGATGCTCCGGACTACAACTCTAATCAGTTATTTGACTTGATTACCTAAGCTAGCAGCAAGGGCAGTTCCCGGATTGGGTGATGCCTCAAATTTCTCTTTGATCCACAACAGCTTCAACTTCTCTTCTTGCCCAACACCATGGTTCACAAAGGCACAACCACAGACAGTCCGGCGCTTGCCGTGCAAGCACATGTGAGATATGTGCAGAGTCTTGATACCAAGAAGGATGAGCTGGACTATTGGCTGACGGAGCATTTGCGGCTCAATGGTGTTTACTGGGGCCTTGTTGCCCTTCACCTGCTTGGACAACCGGACGCCCTCCCCCGGCAGGAAACGATTGATTTCGTATTCTCATGCCAACACGAAAGCGGCGGATTTGGCGCCGCCCCAGGACATGATGCTCACATGCTGTCCACAGTAAGTGCTGTGCAGATTTTAGCAATGGTCGACGCGTTGGATGAGCTCGATGCGCGGGGACATGGCAAAGCCAAGGTTGAAAAGTGTAGGTGGTCACAAAAGCCCCGAGTGTCTAGGTATCGCTCTAACGTGAGAACAGACATTGCAGACTTGCAGGATCCCAATACCGGCAGCTTTTATGGCGATGAGTGGGGTGAGGATGACACCCGATTTCTCTATGGTGCGTTGAACGGGCTATCGCTCCTCGGTGCCCTATCTCGCATCAATCTAGACAAGGCAGTATCACACATTCAAAGCTGCGCGAATTTTGATGGCGGATACGGCGCAAAGCCTGGCGCGGAGTCGCATTCGGGCCAAATCTTGACCTGCCTGGCTGCTCTTAGCATTGCCAATAGGCTGGACGTGGTCGATGAGGAGAAGCTCGGAAGCTGGCTTAGCGAGCGGCAGACCCCGAGCGGTGGTTTCAACGGCCGCCCTGAAAAGAAGGAGGATGTCTGTTACAGTTGGTGGGTTCTAGCCAGTCTAGCTATCCTCAAGCGGACACATTGGATCGACCGTGATGCCCTCATTGCCTTCATCTTGAGCAGCCAGGATGCCGAGAATGGCGGCCTTTCGGATCGCCCTGGTGATATGGTAGATGTGTGGCACACATGTTTCGGCCTTGCCGGCCTCAGTCTCTTGCAATACCCTGGGATGGTACCGGTGAACCCGGTCTACTGCATGCCCGAGGCCATTGTTGCAAAATGCATTGGGTCTAATAGATGAGGTCGCTGATTCAAGCCCTCTTCCACCCTCCACAAACAAACAAACAAACAAACAAACAAACAACAGCCGGTCGTGATTCTCAACTATTGCCGCGTCTCGCCCTCTTGCCATCTAATAACCTGCTAAAGACACTACCCCCGTGATAGCTAGGATACAAGGCGAGAGGAGAGTGAAATATGTTGGTTTTTTCAGGGGCATATCCTCTTCCCATGGAGATTGCCCTGTGAAGTCCTTCAGACATGCGCCGTGGCATAGATTCAACCAAATGTTATATGACGAACTGTACGCGGCACGTACAGGTCTACTAAGTGCCTAGGTAGATATCTGGAGCCTCACGGGCACTGCAATCTGGTGCAGCCGGCCTAGACTACGAGGAAGACAAGAAATAAAACTTCAGTCACATCTCAGTGTTCCATCACGTCTGCTTTTCATACATTTCATCCCATTCAGGAAAAGAACCTTGTGAGAAATCTACCATCTTTGTCTTGCTCTTTCCGTGGGCAAGTGTGCCCGTCTTCATGCCAAGGCCTAGAGCGCTAAACGAAGCAAGCCCCAATAAAAATGTCAATGTGAAATCTATCGACCGTGACATCAAATTTTGGAGAGCTGTCCTTGTTTTTGGTCAAATGTGGCTACATCTCGACTAAACTTTAGGCTGACTCGATCTAGGTTCACATGGTGATGCCTCGCCCGAGTGTCTCCGCGCAGATGTACCATACATTTTGCCAGCTGGCAGATCATGCCATTGAACTGGTAAACACTCAGGACGACCGATAGGGAAGGAGCATGCCGTTCAACATGAATGTTAGGGCATGAGCCTCTCGACACAGTTCTACCAACCACCACTCTTTGACACGCTTCCAAACTTAATCTAAAATTGCTCGCCACCTTGTCCACGGGTCACATCATCCTGCACCTTCATGTTGCGCAGTTATTCTCGGTCAAATAAGGTCCCATAAGCTTCTACTTGATATGTCTGGCATCAACTCCCGGCATATTGGAACTTCCAAACCCCAACCGTAGGGGTAACCTCGCGCTGTTGGATCGCAGCTTCCTCCTCTGGGTTTGCCATGGATCGAAAACCCAGAGTGCCAGTTATGGCATTCATGCAGACGGTAAGAGCGTACCGTGATATTTCCTTCCCACAACCATCTTCGCTTCGGCTACGGACTGGTTGTCATGTTTGGCTGGTTGTTTACTTTACCCTTCCCTGCCTGCGTCAGATCATCTCCGTACCTCAGTTCTCTCCACTTGCTCTTTTCTCGATTCCGCTATCACCTATTGCCTCTTTGCTCCTGTAATTCAAATTGGGCTACACGTCCTTTTGGTTGCTGCTTTCTTGTTCATTGTACCACACCTGAGTTTAGTACTGGACACTCCTGTCAAGGGTTGAAGCCGGGGATCGCGTCGTTCGTGCCGACTTCGGGCCCGGCATGTCATCATTCTCTTGCCACCCCGGATTTGTTCAAGTCTAACTTTTCACACCTAGGATATGGAGTCCTCTCTCGAGTCCACGAGGGATTGCACACCGGTTTCAATTAACAAGAACATCCCGCTCCTTTGCACAGTTTGCCCAGAGGCACCGCGCTTCTCGGACGTATCGCATTTACTCACACACATTGCCTCCAAGGGGCATCTGCACCACGAGACACAAACTAAACTCAAGTCCCATCAGGATATCGCGGCATCTATGACATTGCAGCAGTATGAGAGTTGGTACAAAGCTAATGGAATCGAGGCGCTTCTTGTGGAGAGAATGAAGGCAAAACAGAAGAAAGAAGCAGCAAAGACCAGCCGCACTCGAGATTCAACTCCATCAGTGACATTAAAGGTTAGTAACTATCGTTGTGACTGTGTGTATTGTGCAGAAGTACTGACCCAGTGATTAGTCTAGACGGAAGTCCAAGCGAGGCTCCAACAAGACGAAGGTGAAAGCTGAACAAGACGATTTGGTCCAAGATTATCCTCTATTTCCTGGATTTTTTCCTTCTGAAATTGATGCGGAGGTGGATGAAGAGTTTGCCAACGGTGACATGCTGTCACTCAAGGGCCAAGTATGGCCGGGCATGGGCAAAATGGACCTTGCCAATGACGATATGAAACGAACTCGAAATCAGCGTAAACCCAATTCGGTAATTGAGAAGATGAAACATACTTCCGAGGGAATTGAACCTACCCAGGTTATCATGACTCCAGATCTAGAGGTCGAGCGGGTCAAGGGAGTCTATGACAGTTCCTCACCTATTCCTGGTCAGGAGGAAGAGGTAGTCTTCTATCCACGTAAACAGATCCCATATCATCGCCATACATGGTGCTAACAGTTCAAGACCCCTAAAAAGATAGCAAGACCTAAACGGAAGCGGTCACAAGCACTCGCCGAAATATCAGTCAACGTGCCTCGCCGTGCTAGCAGACGGCCTGGCCGTCGAAATGGTCAATCCAAAGTCAAGGCATCTCCTGAAGAAAGCAATGGTGACAGTATGTTGCCGATTGCTGCGAGCACGACCTCGCTTAGACATGGAAACGATGTCTTCCGCGACAATGATGATGATGGGGTTTCTGGTAAGCCTCCCTAAAAATCGAGACTTTGCAGCTGCTGAGTATTCAGGACTCTATGGCGATCGCATGTTCACAACCCCGTCACGCCAGGACCAAAGGTATGAACAATCAATCTTCTGCTTGACGTTTTTATACTTAGAACCAGTAGACCTGACCTACGCAATCGAATCGGCTTGTATCCTTATGACCGTGTGTCTCACTCGCCGCTCATATCCCCTACGCCTTCGTCTAGGGACGTATCGTCTCGCTTATTTCCAGCAAGAAATATACCACGGCCGAGGATACAAGGTAGTGTTTACGAAAACTATGGTGGACACACGAACTTCGGTGGGG